GAGGATATGTTTTGACTTTGATACTAGAGTTAACGATCCGATTTTTTTTTATTTCAATATTTTCTCAAATTTATCTTTTTTGCGAAGGTATAATTTTAACATTTTGATACCCTTAAAATTGAAAATAGGTTTTAAATAATTTTCGTATATGATTTTATTATTTTTTATTTTATTTTTAAAGCTTCAAAAGTTCTTTCAAATACTCTATGTGTTAATTGATTGATGACCGAATGATAAATTCTATGCAACATCGATTTAACAAAGTTTGACGTGTTATATTCTAAAATTTTCAAAATAATTAAGACATCTAAGAGAATATTATCAAAAAGTATAGGGAGCCCTGATTTTTTTTAAATTATTTTTTATTTCATTTTGAAAGCTTCAAAACCTCAAACAAACCAAAAGAGTCTTCACAAAAATCAAAATCTCACGTATGGCACGACTAAAATATTCTTTTAAAAATCCCTCTTGGTTTCCGGTATCGATAATGGATGGATGAGTCTCTTCCTTCTTCCTGAACGCAACTTAATACCCTTTGGCAGACCTTTTTGGTACTAATTATACTTCATTAATCCAGAGAAACGATTTTCTTCCGCTGCGTTCGGTACTGCTTTATACTTCTGAATTATATTTTCTTCGCCAGTAAATAACATCGCTTTCTTGTAAAAGTGCGTTACGGTTATGATTTTCCCAAGAAAAATTCTTATTTTTGAAGGTGGTTCATATTTTTTTTCTAGTTTTAATGGAATGATTGTTATCTAGGCGAAGCTCCATTAAACTGTTATCTAGGGTGGATATTTCGGTGGGTAAAATAAAAAGCGTGAACCTGGAACTTTCTTGGGAGGTCCCACATGACCTGTTGTCTTTCTCTCCTGCAATAATTTAAAAACAGTAGACTTCCCAACTCCAATCATTCGGGAACATCAGTTAAAACTGATATGATATTATGATCACTACGGCTTAACATCAAATACTGACGCATTAAACTAAATAAATATACTTATAAAGACGCTACCGTAAGAGGTGTCATTCAGGTTCGTTCCTATACTCCACAATTTTCTGAAATATCCTCTAGGCCATGTGAGAAACCCCGTATAATGGTAACTATTTTCATCACATGCTTTATTACAAGAAGCACAAAGCGTTCCGAAATTAACGTTGCTTCTTTATTTTCCGGTTGTTATTTAATTTTATAACTACGACAATTCTCTGAAGTATACTTCGAGACGTCCTTTCATCGGACCTCGAAAGCTCACTCACTGCGTTTGGTGAATTCAATTTGGCCCCGAAGAATTTTAAATGAAAATTTAACGAATTTTTCGTACATTTTAATGGCAGGTGTTTACGCGATGTAGACGGCCAATTAAAATAAGTGGCCATTTGTCATCTTCATTATTTGCTTAATGACGAAGGAGCCGGCACAGGCAATTCCTTCTTTACCGACGGAACTCGCGCGAGCGTACGACTAAGCCCTGGAATCTGCCACCGCCAATTGTAAAAACCGATTTTTGCGATTCCACTTTTTCAATCATAAACGATAACGAGGTTGCTTTGTAGAAAACGCCGTTCGTCAGGTCGGTGTCCTCCGGTGTGCCACAGGGCTCCGCTCTGTGCCCACTGGGCCTGCTAATATTGTCATAACTCGATAATCTCTGGTACAACATTATTATACAGGGTGTTTTAGAATGCAACAAAAATATTTTAGGGGCATGTTTATCAAACAAGAAACAAGGTTTTCGAAACTAGCCAAAACTAATTTGCTCCGTTTTCGAGATACCGGGTGTCAAATTTTACAGAAAAATTGTTTTTTTACCAATTACTCAAAAACCTTTTGATTATGATAACAGCTCGGAGGCTTCTTTGTCGTCATAAGGAACTTAATTTTGTGTGCGTTATATTAAAATAAAATTATTCATGTCAGTTGCGTCTGAGAAGGTAATCTAATCGATATTTATAGATGAAATTATGACACCCTACTGATTTTTTATTTAAGATTGATTAATATCTTTAAATCAAGCATTTAGAAATAAAAAAAGTTAACTATAAATTCAAGAACATCACTGAAATGAAATCTCAAAATCAGCCACATTTTTTAGTAATTAATAAAAAAGCATTTATTCTTTGACACCCTGTATATCGAAAACGAAGCCAGTTAGGATATGACAAATAATATCCTTAAATCTCTTTTAGGCGTTCATTAAATACATATTCAAATTTAAAGGAGCTTCGCTAATATGTATAAACCAATAAATCGTAAACTGTTTTGTTTTTTAACGTACTTCCTCAGCAGTTCAAAGCGAAAATGTTATACAATGTTTATATAAATTGAATTAATAAATAAATAATTAACAATAAACACCGTGTATAAAAGAGGTACCGACACGAACGGATTGTAAACCGAATGATTTATTTGACTGGCTGTCGATCTCCCATTCGAAATTGACTTACGATAATGTCTGAATTTACGTTGACGGGGCCGATAACTCCCGGTCATTTGTCATCTCCGATGTTTTAATTATGGTAATAGGCCGTGGACTAATCTTCCTTTCGATCGTCTCTCTTAGACGCGCGGTATATGAGTCGCGATCATTGTTTTCAGTCGTCGCCGCCGGTATCCGCCCGCAAATAGGGCGACGGAGAGTCGTAAACCCGCCGCACGTATGTAAATATCGATACTTTATCGATACACATAGTATACGAAGCGTGGGAGCTGCCGCGGTAACGTGGGAACCGTTATTATGAATAGGTAGACGCGAAACCGAGATAAGGCATGGAAATTGTCGCATTATATTTAAATCTTTAATATAGAAATTGACCGTACCGGTACGCGTTGGCGGAAATATACCGACACCAAGTCGGCAAACGTAATTTTTTCGTCGTCGCCCGTTCACACGCTGCCCGAACGTTTCAAATTCAACTGCATGGATTAGGCAAGAAATAAACATCGTATTTACGCTATACATTTAAAGCTGGCCGTCTATTAAACACCCACGCTCGCGATATTACTCGAACTGAAGCGATTTCGGCCGTATTTCAAGGTTATAAATTCGATAAACTCGCAACAAGTTGCTACGTTTTCCAACCTCTAAAGAATAGGTAACTTCAAAAGTTTCTAAATATCACTAACCGAAACTTATAAAATGCGTTACTTAACCTTCTTATTTACATATATGTAAGTTAACTTTATATAATTCTTAAAAATTGCTTTTCGAACCCAATTTCATTACGTCCGAATGATACCAAAGTAGCAACAAAGAAAGTACTACAAAAATTACCAAGTCGCTGGAACTTTTCGCCTGAAATTAGAACAAGTTCAAATTTGATGCAACTCGGCTCAACGCTCAAGGCTACGGAACTTTTGTAGTCGTAGCGATAAATTGCATAGTGAAAATGGGACTGTATTTACTTCTGCTTTCTACTTATTCACATCGCCTCAACAACAACATGTAAATGGGTCAGCGCCTGCCCAAAGCTTTTAACAACTGTCATTTGACTGACACAGTTATTATCTAACCGAAGACATTATCTGTGATTTAGCACGGACCAGAAAACTTAACTTTTCGCGAACTTCGCAAACTCCTCGTACGTTACGAGACGACGACAGCACCTTCGCGGTGTCAATGGTCTATGACTTAAGGACCAACAAATCGAATGAGTAAGCCTCGGTGTCGTCTCGGTTCTTTCTCACAGCCCGCACCCACACGTCATGCCCAAATCGGGGTTGCTTGTCGCCCTCCCACGCGCTACACCTCTCACTTAACCCTCCGCGTATTTGTCCTGCCGTCTGGCCGTGTGTGAGGGTGGAACACCGCGCCGGCGTGACGTCATCGACGGGGACGCCGCGTTGAAAAAATGCGGGTCAGCGGACAGCGTAAACATCGCAAACCGAATCCAGAGTGTGCAGCTCATAATTCCGCGATTAATTAATTTCAAGCGTCTCGAGTAATTAATTCGAACGTTTTTTAACGGCGCGGAATTGCGTGCGCGCGTCCGGGTGGTCGCCGTTTTTCTACGCAATTTTTTTTGCTCGGGCTGCCTACAAGGGTTCGTAACACGTTTTTTGTCTCGCGAATAATTCGCGACGTTCAAACGCACGTAAGCACGACGAACGCGCGCGCGCGCCGTAACCAATCAGCGACGCATTCTTTTCGCATAATACGCAACGGGGCGTTTTTTAGTTATAGCGACTGGCTGATTTACGCGACTTTTTGTCACCCGCTGACGTCGGATTCCGAACACGTTGTTTCCAGTTTTTTTTATATGCCAAGCAAAACTAACCGTTTTGTTTTTGTGTAATCGCGACGGGATGTTATGATTTGTGTTCTGTGTTTTTCGCGTCATCACACCGGGCTTTATTTGTCGCGATCATGGGTGGCGCTGTCGTAACAGTCTAATTTTATAATCCATGTGCGGATTTCAATTTAAAACAGCGCATTAAAGTTTCTATAAAAAACGGCAGACATCGAGGGGAAAACAAATTGATTTACGAGATGCACTTGCCGAGAGACTGAACCTGCTCGGTAGACAAATTACGGTAACTAAGAAACCATTACTTTGGCTCTTTTAAGTGCCCGCCCCCGGGGCTCGGCAATAACGTAGTCTGTTTAAAGAAGATTTGCATGTGTAGTGAAGCGGGAAACTCCATCAGAGAGAAGTTTAACAGTCGGGAAAATTAGCTCCTCGATTTGCTGAGGAATTAAAAAAGCCAATGCAACGACAAACTATCCGTACATAATCTGCCAACATCGTAACTGTAAAAGCGCGGTAGGGAACAAACAAAACAAAATCTCTTTCAATTACCCACCTCGGGGCCATAAAGTGCGGTTTTTACGGAAAACCGAAAACGCAGTGGTGCCGAAAACATTGTTGTTAAAGACCGGTTTATGGAGATTCGCAACTCGCAACATATAAAACATATAAAATCGAAACAATTTAAAGCATGCGGTGATGGGATGCCATCTACAAGCCGATAGCAGTGTCAAACTTTGGAAATTCGGAAGAAAACTACTTTCTGTGCAATGCGCTATCGAAAAAAATTACAATATATAGAAATTCAAATGTCAAAATTTACGGTCTTTGTTTACAAATAGTTGTCGCATAATAAGGTCGCATTTAATGAAATATTACGCGATGGCAACGATCGCTAACCCATCCATCACGAAACAACCATTAAAATTCATCGAAATCCCCTTGAATAAGTTTGCCGAAGAAGTGATACCGTTTCACCAAAAAATGTTGCAAGCTCACAAAAACAACGTACAAAAGGTAAAAAACCCTTCATGCATAGCCTGTTCCTGAATTTAAAGTGCTTATTTCCAGCTCATGTCGATTAATAACACCGCAGAACTGTTAAAAGAAATAAAAGACAAGAAACGTAGCATTAGGCAAGTCAGAGATTTGTTGTATGAACTTGATACTCTGCGGACCCAAGTACAAGATAGCGATTTAGATCAGTTTGATATTAGGACGATGCCTTTACGAAACGCGTTGTTAAAACTTACCAAAGGGTATCAAGATTTGGAGAAGTTGTCAGAAAAGCTGCTCATTAAATTGGGGCCTGAGGAACAAACTCTGGCAGATAGGCAAAACCCTTTTGAAGGAGTCTCACAAATCCACATAGAGGGGAATATAGAGGACCTGAAATTGAAACATGAACAAGAAAAACTCGATAGGGTCCAAGACATACAAAGAGATGCTGACGACTTGCATGAGGTTTATAAGGAACTTCACAGTATGGTGAATGAGCAAGGTGAGGTTGTGACAAGAGTGGAAATGAATGTTGACACTACTCAAGAGAATGTTAATAGCGGTCTAAGGCATCTTATCGAAGCACATAAGTAAGTATATTGTTAAACTCGCGTTGGGTCCCCAAAGAATGTAAGGTTATGTTGGGTTTTGCTGCAGTGCTAAACAAAAGAAAAACAAAAATTTTGAGGATGTGCAATTTACAGGATAAAATCAGTGGCATATCCTGCGACGGGAGCTTTTATAGGAACATTGGTTGCTGGCCCGATTGGACTCTTAGCTGGTTTAAAAGTTGGAGGAATAGCAGCGGTGGGCTGTGCTTTAGCCGGCTACACCGGTGGAATTTTTTTAAAAAAGCACAAGCATTTATTAGGAACTGAGCCCGATGCTGTTATCAACAACGAGAATAACGAAAATCACACTGTTACTGAAACCATGAAGAAAGATATTTGACACAAGAGGTGCATTTTATGCTAAAATCAAGATTTCTTTTAAATAAATCAATTATAAATATTTAAAATGTAAGTCATAGGTAATTTTATTGAGCTGTACATATTTACTTCTTAAAATGAATGCTTGGAAATTCTGTAAATAAATTCCTTAGTATTGAACTTAAAAGACATTTATTACGTAGCTAACGCCATGACGTAACCGAAGTGGAATATATATTCTGTGACTAGTGGTCCGCGCAAACAAACCTATTTAATATCTATGTTCTGCATTTTTAACCTTAGGACAAAATGCAGAAATTTAAATTTCTCTCCAGAATTGTAGAAAAATGCATTCGTCCAAACACAAGACCGCTATCCACAGCAGTTGCCCAACCCGCAGGAGTTGAAAAGTCTCCATCTGGTATTTTCGCAGTTGTTTCGTTTCGCATCTTTACGATTACTATCGTTTTTAGGGCTGCGAGAAGACGTTCTAAGCCACCCCGATTACTTCTCCGTCCACAATCTCTTTACCATTAAAGATTTGATGGACGCGAGGGTACATTATGGCCACCGGACGGGATCTTTAGATGAACGAATGTTGCCATACATTTATGGTAGTAGAATGGATCATATCATCTTCGATTTGGACCGCACCGCGGAATACTTGAGGCGCGCGTTAAATTTCGCGGCCCACGTTGCGTATAGGGACGGTGTGATACTGTTTTTCTTGAGACACGCGCAAAACGCGCACATCGTCGAACAAGCCGCTAAGGATTGTAAGGAATTTGCCCATACCAGGTTTTGGAGGGGCGGAATATTTACCAACGCCAATAAACAATTCGGAGCCGTCACCAGGCTGCCAGATTTGTGTATATTTTTCAGCACATTAAACACGATTTTAGGGCAACACACGGCGGTGCGGGATTCCGCAAAAATGAATATAGCGACGATTGGGATAGTAGATTCTAACTGTAATCCCAATTTGCTGACGTATCCGGTACCCGGAAACGACGATTCGCCAGTTTCAATTGAATTATATTGCAAATTATTTAAGAATGCTATTTTACGTGGCAAAGAGAGAAGAAAAGAGCATTTAGGCATTTCGTAGGTTGTAATTTATTGCTTAATCTCGTCAATATAACATGAAGAACTTTTGCTGTTCCTTTATGATTTTACAAAAAATAATAGAAAAATCACAGATCAAAGAATGTTTAGGGGCCTGTGGTAGGTACATATATTGTGTGTGTATTCACATCTAGCAACACTTATCCTACTACAAAATTGAATAAAAAAGTAAAGAAAACCTAACCAATTGAGTAACATAATAATCATAAAATAAAGATGACAATGGGGTTATGCGCTCACAAGCCGAATTTCAATGAGTTTGAATGAATCTGCAAAAATGATGCAAGTATAAAGGTTACTACTACATAAAGAAACTAAAATTATTATGTGCAAATATTTATTCTGCAATAAAATTAAACACAGAAATGAAATTTTTATGGTTAGTAGCAGCAGCAAGGAAGAGCATGCAGAAATCTGTTCTAATTGAATAAAGACCACCACCACGAGCGTTCCATTGTTAGTCCTTTTTTTTAATCTAAAAAAGTTAAAACTCAAAAATACCCGTTAATATAAATAATGGCATTGTTGTGGAATAATAAGAGCAAATAAAAATACAAAAAGTGTAAAATTATCAAAAATATGTGTATAAAAATGTAAAAGCATTAAAGTAAAAAAACGGCTTAAGTCTATACAAATTATAAGGACCTTAATGTCTCATGTTATTTGTACCTCTTTCAAGTCCTTACTGTCACGAAGTTTGAATAGGAACCCTGGTCCCAAAACCTTTAAACCTCTGCAACAAAAAAAATGTAGGAGTATTTATTAAATTTCGAAGGTAGTACCTACTTAGAATCTTAAAAAACACTTTAGCTACTTACAATTTAAATACCAAAGGAAAATAAACGGCGATATAAGTCAAAGGGACAACTGGAAACAGTCCAATCCAGGTCTCACTGAGTTTATTAACAATGGCGACAGCATTTAACTGTCCGCAACGTTCTGCAGTCATCCTCCTGTCAGATGCCTTGGCAGGTTGGTCATACTTCTACCACAGATAAAAAACCGCGTATGACATATTTTTCTGTGCACTTGTCAAATTATAGACTTGGTAAAATTTTTACTTACTTCTCCATCTTTGCCCGTAAAAGCCTCAGATAAAAAGTTTGTATAGATTGGACCCGGGCAAATCAAAGTCACATGAATATTTTTGCCCAATTTTTCAGTCCTTAGGGCATTATAGTACCCCTAAAAGCCAACCGAATTTTCAATAGCACATAACACGCAAAAACTATCTAATAAAATGAAAAAAACTAACATGAAGGGCATGTTTACTACCGGTATAGCTAGCTGAAAATGGTACTCCGATAATGCCCGCGAGGCTAGAAATGGCTGCTATGTGTCCCTCCCCTTTCTTATTAAAATATTCCAAAGCGATCCTAGACAAATTTATCACAGAGAAAAGATTCAGTTCAAACATTTGCCTGTCAACCGATAGCTCTATCTCATCCCACATAGCGCGCTGGGACCGACCAGCATTGTTTATGAGTATGTCAACTGTACCAAAGTGTCGCAAAGCATGCTGGAAATGCATTTTATGCGACGCGAAGTCGAGTAGGTCCATGGGAATAACCAGGACATCTTTATCTTCGAGGAGACCCTTCGAAACATCTGAAAAATCCATACTTTATTGTGGTAGAGGCAATGGTTGATTTTTTTTACATACGGATGCAATTTACTTTAACCCGTTGCAATTCGTGATTGCGCCTGGCGGCCAGAATTAATTTCACACCGCATTTGGCGAGAGCGTACGCGGTGTGCTCACCAATACCGCTCGAGGCACCTGTTATGAAAGCCACTTTACCCTTTAGCCGGCCTGCAATAAACTTTGTTTAGGGCATATATCAAAGGTCCGGAATAATTGCGTTTTTACGTGGAGATTTTCCGAGTTTTTCGCAAAATCCCAGGAGCACGTCGCAATCCAAAAGGGCAGTGGATAGCCCGTAAAAGCATCCGTAAATAAAAACACCAATTCCTACTATACTAAAAAACATTGTCAAAAGTTTGCCGCGAATAATTACGCAGCCACCAAACACGCGAAGGCGATAATACCCTTACCAGATAACGCATTAAAATTATCTGGTAAATAAACCCGTTTGAATTATTCTAGGATAAGAGGTGTGTCATTGAACTTGGGTTACATCACTGGTGACTAGAGTTGTGTCAATCGCGATTGATTCAGTCACTTTGATTCAATCACTTCATACGATCGAACGATTCCCGCTTGTTCGTAACGATTCGATAGTTCGCTTTCACTGCCGCCCTGACCGGTATGAAGTGAACGAATACAGGACGAACGATCGACCGACCGTACCAAAACAAATCAAATTCGCCTGGCGGAATACGCTTGATTTGAATGGTTTAAGATTTAAATGTATGACTGACACAGGTGACGAAAAAAAAATGTTATAATTATTCTATAGTATTGAGTTGCGACATCGATTGGTAGATTTGATTATGCATTGAATTGAATATTGAATGAAATATGTTTTTCCACAAATGTATCTAATTTAAATATACGTAGCACATATTTTGATAAAATCATGATGCAATAAAAAGCAGAACACAGCCAAATATTGTACTAACTAAAACAGCAAACAGAACATATAGACAACAATGATTTAAATTGAAATGAATCTGAATGGGTCGTTGGGACTGTTCGGATTCAGTGATTATTGCCGCTTGTGTTGGCAACAAAATAAACTATTGATTGAAATGATTCGTTCCTTTTCGAAATCGGTCAGTGATTGATTCGGTCCTAGTAGAATGAACGATTGACACAACACTACTGGTGACTTGTATTAGTAAACTTTTGTTTTTTCATGTGCATGTGTGTCTTTATAACAGAGCCTGGAATACGCGAATGATCATGGCAATTTGCCTTACGCCCTGCAAAGAATGAGTAGACTAATGCTTTGATGTATTTATTACTATTCTATGCTTGTTTATATTTTTATTGTGTTATTTTTGATGCCATGAAGTTTTGTGGTTATTTATTACACGAAGCAACACGAACAAATTGCCGGTACATCAATGCTCTAATTTATTATTACGCATCATTTGCTGAGATGCGGTATCCACGTTAAGGTTATATTGACGCAATAAATATTTTTACCAACAGTGCAATAGTTCTCCAAATTTATAAATGAAACTGAGCAAAATGAAGCGGAAACGTAGGGAAACGTGCCCGTCCCCTATACTCGAGGAGGTACCCAAAAGGTATTTATCTCGAACAAAGTTTTGTCACAAACTGCATCGTGTTGTTTTGCAGGCCAAAGGTGCAGGCGCAACGAAAGTTTGCCCAAGGGTCCAATGTAAACAGCCCTGTAATAACTCCCATACGCGACATTGAGGCGGCCGATTTACTGCCTCGCACCAGCATGCCCGAGCCCGTTGAGCTGTTGCCTATGAAGAGACCAAACACAGAAGATTTTTTAACTTTTTTGTGTTTTCGCGGCACCCCAATACTACCGCCCAACCTCAACTTTTTCAACACGGCGTCGATAGTCGCGGACGGACAAGTGCACGAGATTAAGGGTGAGTCTCCTAAGAACGGGCCAATAGATATAACAAAATGCGCGGGAAGCTCGTCCGAAAAACCATTTATAGCCTTCGGGGTAAGAAAAAGGGCCGACCCTATCGTGATAAGCAGACAGATGGACAGAAAAAGAAGGCACGCGTTAGCGTTGCAGGTAAGTCCTGTGGTTAAATAGTAAGCAGTAAATAAACAGTGTAGATCTGATATTAAATACTAATTTTTATACTAGGTGTGAAGTAGCATAATATATCAAAGTTATATATTTTTTTTTAATTGGAAACCCTGTATAATTTTTCATTGTATGCGTTTATTTCAAAAATATATAACATGTTAGAGTTATTTTATAAATTAACGAGAAAATTAGTTCCCCATTCATGGTGTCACGCAACAGGACCTCTACAAAAAGGCAAAGAACAGACTGTAAACAATTGGTGAGTCATCATGAAAAGGAGGGTCTCGCTTGAGGTATTTGATACTGAACAAGCGACAAGCTCAAAGAAAAAGTGTACGCGCAAACGTGTGAATGGTTTAGTTTAGAATTATTGTGAGAGATCAAAATATTTGTATTTATAGGGTGATAATTGACATAATTATTTATGTAATACCTAAATATTTAAACTACGGGTTGTGTATTTCATAATTATGTGTGTTTCATGTGTTACTACCTCTTCTTTTTAATATAATTATGGTAAACACTCTGTTCCGAACTGTAAGGGCAAGAGCAAAAGTGACAATTTTTTCATTCCCACAAGGGCATGTTTTGCTGAGAAAACATGAAGGTGTGTCTTACTAAAACAGTTTTCAATAAGTGTAGAGACCTTTAGAAGTACTACAAGATGGACTAGCAAGTTAAATGCTTTTTAATAATATTTATTTCAAAGTTAAAGTTAAAAAATACTATATTAAAAAATATATGCCACATTTAAAAATTTTAACGCTTCATAAAATTTAATTTTAATTTAATAAAAGAATTTTGATATAAAAAATAGGTACAGTAATATATTCTTTATTCGACAAAAGATAAAATAAAATTTTAAAAATATCTAAGCAGTACCTTTTTATTGATTTGAGGCAATTTTTATGTATTCTACATGTTCGTACTATATTTTAAACATTAAAATAATGTAAAGCAATTAAAATGTTTTGACTCATACTTTAGGGCTTCACGGCCTTGTTATGTAGGAATTTACGCCAACGCCAGTATTGTGTTTAATGTGGATTTAATTTCCACGTCACAAAACATTCCAAATATTGTCGTATATAAAAAAAATAAAAATGCAAATTTCACTAGAGAATACATTACATTAAAATTATATACATGTATAATATAAACACTGATTTATTAATTGAGAACATTGCTCCAAATTTTTAAAATGTTCTTTCCAAAAGACAGGGCCGACTCCCCCTTTTAAACTTATATGGGGCTTTAATTAACCAGTCAGGATGTAAATAATTAATATTTAGTTCTTTAATGTCATCTACATGACCATTTTGTCCAAAATAAATTTTGTTTTTTACCTGTTGCCACATGATTTCCGCTAATTTATTTTTGCTGATGTTTTCTAATTAATTTTCTATTCTTATTCTGTTTACATTTTTATTATTTATATGTAGAACGAGAATAATTCGAATTTTTCGTCAAATGAAAACGTTATTCTTTTATCTAATTTTGAATAATAATATTAAGAATATGCCACAAAAGACGTGGAGTTGGCTTGACGTCATTATGCATGGCCAACTAAGTAAAATTCTTTCCTTGATTAAAAATGTAACTATTAACATGTTACACATTTTTGAAACCAGCCTAAAAGGACCGGTCTTTCGAGACTTCAAATTTTAAAAATATAACCTTGATATGCACTCGTACACTTTGTATACAAAGAAGTATGTAATATTAAATCTACACAGCAAACCCATCATTTTTTTTTCTAAAATTTTATAATGTATACGTTTGCGTTTGTCGCAGGCACTCAGAAGGAAATATCAGGAGCAGAAAATGGCTAAAATTCGAGCTCTGACCATAAGCAAGCTCAGCGAAAAAACTACAAATAAAACGCTAGTTAAAACTAATACGATTCAAAAAACCGAAACGGTAACGAAAAAAAACGTGACATTGGAAAAGACAAAGGTCGTTGCTACCAAACACGTTAAGGTTACCACGCAAACGTTGAAAACGGCACTCAGACCAAAGATCAAATCCAAAATGTGCTTGAGGAGCTTTAGGGGACGTCTCGTGCAGAAAGAGCTGCCCCTCAAGGGCCGCAGGCGCATTATATCGGGACAAGAGAACGTTGGGGCCGCGACAACAGACGAAAGAAAGAAATGCAAGAACGAAGAAACTGATAAATCAAGTAAAACAAGCATAAGGGAGCAATTGAAGAAAAATGACAAGAAAGAACTGCTCTCTAGGGTGACGAGGTCTGGCAGCCTTAACATAATGCCTCCCAATCTTTCTAGGCAGAAAATCAAAAAGCGGATTCTCCTATCCTCGACCAATTCGGTGGTAAAACCGAAACTACGGTCAACGACCCTCAAAAAAACCGTTATATCGCAAAGGAGGGCCAAACAAAGGCTCAGCATAAAAAGGGGATCGAGGGAACTCAAAGAGAGCGAAATACTCGTGCAAAAGTTCCAGATGAAAAGGCCGGACGTTGTAAAAAAATCATCCAACAAGTCTGAAGCGGCTAGCAAAACGACGACAAAACCTGAATCAAAACAATCGGAAAATGTTATAAAAAAGGAAATAAGAAAAAACGTTAATATAAAAAAATTCGTAAACACGAAAACGGAAGATGTGGAGATCAAGAAAAACATCGACATTAAAAAGATTAGCGAAACGACTTCGGAAATAGGCAAGGATCAAAAAATTAAAAAAGAAATAAACAAGGTGGTGGAAACGTCAAGGAAGGTGATAACGAAGAAAAGCGAAGACAAAAGTGTCAGCGAAGCAAAGCACCATTTTACGAGAAACGCGCCAAACCCAGAAAAGAGAATGCAAGAAACGAAGAAAAACAAGGAAGAAAGCAAGCTTAAATCGACGCGGGCGAAAAGTTCGCCAGAAATAAGGCTTAAAAAGGAGGTGAGGAAAGAAGAAGAGAAAAAGATGAAGAAAAAGAATGAAAAAATTTTGCAACCCAGGCAGACGAAAGCGGAAACCGAAAAGAAAACCAAAGAAGTTGATTCGAAAGAGTTGAAAATCGAAAAAGCGCCAAAGAAGGCCAAAGAGGTGAAATCCAAAAAGCCGCACGAGGACGTGGTTATTAAAGAGAACATTAAACTAGAAAACAAGGAAGACATCAAGGAAGATGAAAAACTCCAAACACTTTCCAAAGCACTCAAGCAAGATGAAAGTAATAAAGAGTTGAAATCCAAACTAAATAAAATTGAAGATCACGAAGCAAACTCCCAGAAGAATTGCCGACCTACGAGGAAAACCAAAGAGGCCGCCGCCATTTATATGGAAATTTTGAGCCACAAATTGGTAAACGAGGGCAAGATCGACGACGATAATGTCTCGATCGACAGCTTTCCCGAACTGCCGAACGTCAAGAAGACGGAGCAGAGGGAAAACGAGCTTAAGAAGGCACAAGCCAAGACTAAAGATCCAGATATAGAAGAACCCAAAAATGCTGAAAAAATGAGAAACGACAAAGACAGGATTAAAAAGGAATTGGGAAAAGAAAAAATTGACAAACCGCAAGACATTGAAATTGAATTGAAGAAATGTGAGAATAAAACAGAAAAATGTGAGAATGCGGCGGAAAAAAATGTCGAAGAGAAAAAGGCACAACCCTTGTCCGGCAACAAGAAAGCAGCAATTGAGAATTCGGATTCAGACTCGGACGATGAAGTGTTGCAGGAGAAAATCAGGAGGATAGCGGCGAGTCAAGAAGAGTCGGTTAAATCGTCTCCTTTGAGGAGACCGACACGTGCCGTAGTTGCGAAATCGGAAGACTCGGATGCGTCTTTCCACATAGATATTAAAGTGCCGAGGAAGAAGAAATTGACGAGGAGCAAAACGAAAGCACCAGAGAAAACACCACATACGTCACCCGACCCTCCAAAAGTTGAACCGCAGGTGTCGAAACTGAAGGAATCCAGCTCCGACGAGTCCACGACCTCAGATATTAACCTCAAGAGCCTTCAAGTGAAGCAAAAGAATAAGAAATTGTCCAAAACGAAGTCTTCAAAGAAATCCAGCGTGGAGTTCAGCGATTCGGACGAGGAACCGCTGTCCAAATTGACCACCAAAAGCGTCAAATCTTGTATCGTCGGTCAGAAGCAGGGGGAAGCCAAGACTATGACAGAAATTAAAGAGGTAAAACCCAAACGAGAGTGCGCCAAGCGACCTCAAAACTATCTCCCGATGTTGTCTTCTTCCGAAGACGAAGACGAACCCTATTTCCACGGCTTCAGCACCGTAAAAGAAGAAATCAAAAAGCCGAAAACGTTCGTCGACGCGGTGGTCCCCTCCTTGGACCTTTTGGCTAAAGATACGGGCCGGAAAGCAAAAGTGAACATGTCCAACGAGCAGATCGAGCAGTGGCTCAAGGATTCGGCGCTCGCCGGTAGCGGCATCGCGAAAGAGAACGACGCCATGCTTAAATTCGGGGAAACGATTCCCATGGATCTCGAGGCTGTTCCCGATACGTCAATGTACGAAGAAACGAAAAACAAGGAAAGTATTCCCGAATCGGAAATCGTCCAAACAAAGTCCGAGCCAAAATCGGACATAAAATCGTCTGTGGCGGATCGCAAACTAATTTTTAAAAAGGATAAAAAGGATAGCGGCCCGAATCTGAACGCGTTTTCGCCCGAAAACGAATGCAGCGTCTACGCTTTTGGCGAGGACGCCGAGGACATAATCAGCACTCCTTTTAGGAGACCCTCGAGACGGCCGTCCAGTACCGCGACGTCCAGGTCCGAAGACGAGTCCTCCAAATACGACGAAACGCCAAAGCCAGGTGTGTTAGTTCGGATGTCTTACTACTTTTATCTTGAAGCAGACTTTTATTTGTCCGAAAATATATCAGGCTCGACTCTCTACATAATAATTAATGCTTTAGTACGACAATGCCGGCAACACTGGTCAAACATACATAAAGGCAACAAAAGTAAAAAATCTCATAGCGTTTTACAATAGAAATAAATATCAGCGCACCTTTGGTGGTACATTTGAACTACTTTTGCATTTTGTACGATACGATATATAAGGTTTGGTTTATACCTAAAAATTGAACTGAGGTGGCTTTTACTTGATGAAAATTCATTTATCAAAATAAATAAGAACTAAAAGTTCAGATTTTCACGAAATTATATATTATGATATGACAATTGTTTCGACAACACCGTGTCTTTATCACATCAAATCAAATGATTATTAGATGATCATTTGATAAAGACACAGTGTTGTCCAAACAATTGTCATGTAAAAATATATAATTTCGTGAAAATCTGAACTTTTAGTTCTTATTTATTTCGATTTTTTGTTGTTTGTATGTCTGTTTCTAAACACACAAAACAGGTCAATAGCTTATCGCAAAGGTCGATATCCTTCCAAAACAGCAGTGCAACACTGCTGTTCACCTTCTTAGCAATTACCCACATCGCATTATTTACCTACCATTATATTTACCAAACACAAGGCATTGTGTTTTAGGCAAATTTAAAAGAAACTCGTAACTGAACAAGTAAAAATCAACAGCCTCAAAAACCTTTATCTGTATACAATATATTCACTAGTTACATTAATAATTCATTTATGTACATAATGTAAAAGGGCCGAGAATAGACCTCTGAGGAATATTCTTTACCACTCTAACCATAGAAACAATATAAACTATCTGTCGGCATTTCCTCACACACACCCAACTTTTCTGACTTTAATAAGAAACCGTATGAAGTTTTTTCTGACTTGATCTGAGCTGAGCTACGAGTTTCTCAACTTATTAGGTTGATGAGCCTTTAATTTTTAGCTAAAAAGGCATTTTAATCCTTATGATTTATGCCGATTCTTGATGGAAAAGTTTTGATTCATACATTATAATTTGACTTCGTTAATTTCGCACACACAATTGATATATTGCAAAAGTTTGTTATTAATATTAATATGATTCACAAAAAAAACTCTATTTTAGTGTATCCCTAAAAGCATATTTATTTCACACGTTTCCGGACCGAACGAAATACGTACCCGCAATTATCTACCGGTACATTTGACCTACTTACTCATTTCGACCGATTCCAGGCCAGTTCCGCAAGCCGAAATCCCAAAACGAGTCCCACGACGAGTTTAGATTCTTCAACGTGCCGCAGAATCCGTCTTCGAAGATACCCAAACCTCTTAAAGGCGACTCGGTACCCCTACCGCCTAGCTTTCAAAGCAAGAGGCCTCCGAAACTCGCGATCGACAAATTCCCAGAGCCGTTCGACGATAAATACAAAATTCCGAGCTCGCCGAGCGCGAGTAGCAGCAGCAGCGCGAAGCTGTACAAGAAAGCCGCCCAAAAATCCAAAAAGATGCCGCCGGACGTCGCGACCCCCGTTTACGTTTCGGATTTTCCCAGGGGTTCGGAGCCGGGCATGCTGGTCGAGGCTCCCGTGTTTCATCCCACCGATCAGGAGTTCCAGGACCCGTTGGAGTACATCGAACGAATCAGGCACAAAGCGGAGCAATTCGGCATTTGCAAGATCGTCCCGCCGACGAGTTTCAAGCCCGAGTGCAAAGTGAGCGACGAGATGCGCTTCACCGCCTACAACCAGTACATACACAAGATGTTGCACAGGTGGGGGCCGAATTTCAAAGAGTTCATGGCGATCAGGAAGTATCTGGCCACCCAGAACATCACGCTGAAACATCCTCCATGGGTAAGTTGAAATTGTCACTATTTAAATTTAAATTAGTTGAATAATGTATTAAACTTAGGCTCAGGTTCAATTAAGTTATTATTTTTATTATTTAATTATTTATGACAGCTGTTTTGGCAACACCGTGCCTTTATCAATACAATCAGATATACAATATATTTATGAATTTGACTAATACTACATTTTCTGAGAGAGTCCAAATTTCTGAAAAAAGGTTTCAATTTTAATTTAAATTACTCAAACATCATATCATATTGCCTTTAAATCTAGATAAGTTATCAGAAATTCCTTTGAACTAATTAACAAGGTTAAAGACTTTAAAATTCCTTCTAAGGCAATTCTAGTTTCATTTGACGTCCAAAATTTATTTCCAAGCTTTCCACCAATTGACGTAATAAATATAATTCTCACTCATAAAACAAGACTTGCTAGATAGTTTAATAGTTTGTTTAGACCAAAATTATTTTGAATTTAATGGTCAATTTTATATTGCTAAAAAAGGATTAATTGTGCGAAACCCACTTAGTCCACTACTTGCAGAAATTTTCATGGACAATTTAGCAAATGTAATAGATAAACATCCTCTGAGTAAAGGATTTCTCTGGTGGTATAGATACTTAGATATCGTATAAAACTTACCATAAACTTTCTAAACTTAACTATAACTAAACTACAGAACAAATTAGAATTTTCCACTCATCATAAATCCTCACAGACGGACACAACTCATATCACCCTTACGCACACAAAATGGCTGCCTTTTATGCTTTTATCCACAGTCTACTTAATATACCACAAATTTTGAAGAAGAATTAAATATTGTAAAACAAATAGCTTTTAATAATGGTTACAACCCCTCTTTGATAAATAAGCTCTGAACTCTATCTATCCCATATTAAACACTACACCCAAAATTTATAAAACAATAAAATACATAGCAAATAGCAAGAAAATTTCTAAATGTCTATCTAAATTTCGTCTTAAGATTGCTTTTAAAACTGAAAACCCCACAGGACATTTTTTAAAAGCAAAAAAAGCAAAAAACTAAATTTGTTTGATGCTATGGAGATTAACAAAATGCACCATATGAAATCTCACATTTTCGCCCTAGGGCTTACTCTGTGTATTGTCTAAAATATTGGAGAGGGTTAACTTAATAATTATGTTGCTGATTCGAATATTTTGCCTGCCTCCCAATCTGAGTTTAGGCCCGGGCGCAGCACAACACTGCTTAATATCACTGATGACCTTTTTAGGGCTCAGGATGTGTCAAGAAATTTTGTTGGATTATAGCAAAGCCTTCGTTACCCTAAATCGAAGTCTTCTTATTTTAATGTTAAAGTTCTTCGATTTAACCGACACTGCTATTGCTTTTATGAAAAGTTACTTGGGAGGTCGCCGGCAGAGGGTTACGATGGAATTAGCGGTGTCTGACTTTCTACCAATTCTAAGGGGAGTTCCGCAGGGCAGCATTTTGGGACCTTTGTTGTTCTCTATTTACACCCCTGACTTCTCTAGGCACCTAAATAAATACTATTCTTTATCACTATGCAGATGATATGCAAATATACTTATCATTCTTGGTCAAAGATGTAGCTTTGACGTATAATGGCATAAATGAGGATATTGAAGTGATTTCTAGAATCGCCAAAGCCCATGGTCTGAAACTAAATGATTCCAAGACCCAGGTTGTTCGTTTTGGTAATAAAAAAGAGGAAATTATGCAGTATAATGATCTGAAACTTTCTTTGAATGGTACTCCGCTGGAATTTGTCGACAAATGTAAAAACTTAGGAGTCTTCCTTGATAGTAAGCTGCTTTTTCAAAATAAATAAGAACTAAAAGTTCAAATTTTCACGAAATTATATATTTTTACATGACAATTTTTTCGACAACACCGTGTCTTTATCAAATGTGTCTACTTGAAAATCTGAACTTTTAGTTCTTATTTATTTTGATAAATGGATTTTCATCAAGTAAAAGCCACCGAATAACGATAACGAAAAACTCCGGTATCTCTATGGACTGGTCAGGGGTGATATACAAACACGGCGACTCGTCTCCGTAACCTGTTCTATGTTCCCAAGCATAGTACGGCTCTGCGTTTCAGAGCTCATTCACATATAACGCTATTAAAACTTATAATTCACTTCCACTGAATATTATTACTTGTTCATCTATTTCTACATTTAAAAAGAAATAATTAAAAGAGCAGGAGTGAGATTAAGGAGAAGCTGAACCGCTTATTTGTTTTTGCTCATTGTTTTTCTTTTAGTCGTTTTTGAATATTGCACTTGCTTTTTTCCAATGTCTATTTTTTTGTTCTTTTTTTATCTCCCGTTGATTTGTCTAAAATTGTCAAATTGTGAATCTTGGGTGGACTTAAGGGTCTAATTTATATTTGTTAGTTTTTTTTTCTTGTTAAATTCTCAATATTTTACTACATTGTATCGGTGGTTAGGTGGTGTAGCGCTGCTAGACCTCCCCACCTGTTCAACTCTATTGTAGTATATTCTTTTTGTGCTACTTTAATAAAGGCTATTTATTATTATTATTGTTATTATTATTATTATTATATTCGCATCTATTAATTTAATTAATTTAAATGCGTCTCCCTTGTTAAATTTAAATTTATAACCTTACAGCGGTAATTAAAAATCTATGACTACCTGTTTATATATATAGATGTCGGAATATTGTTATATTTTAAATTGATAAAGACACGGTGTTGCCGAAACAGCTGTCATAAATCAATAAATAATTGTGGAAATCTGAAAATTTTTTGTTCTAATTTAATTTGGGTTAAATGGAGGAAAAGCCACCTCAGTCCAATTTAGGCTCAGATCATTTTTTGGAGGATTTTCTAAAACCCAAAAAATCTTTCCGTACTATGGTATATGGTGTGTTGCTGGAGAGGCTTCACAAATTGGGTACAAAATGGAACATAGATATTCAAAATTAAGAATAACAACGTACGATGCCACTAATTATTTAAAGCGTATATAAATGATATTCTTACATTCCTTGATAGTGAGGGGGCGGCGTTTTTTCCTTGCTATGAAAAGCAATTAAATTGCAGCCTTAAAAATATAATCTTTTGCTAGACCATAGCCTTGTCATTGAATAATGAAAAGACGAAGTTTCTTGCGTTTGCCTCCCTAGAAAACTTTCGCTATTGCTTGAAAGGCTTCAAAAAATGGTTATTAGAGCAGTATCATACCAATTTGTTGCTTCATACTCACCAAAGTCAAAATTGGAAGTATCATATTGTGGTACTGTGTCCTGTGGCACGGGAGGCAGTAGCCCTCTATTATTTAACGCGTATATTCTTTTCCGTCTTTGGTAGTAAGGGGGAGACGTTTTGCTTTGCAGATGACACAGAAATAGTTGTGCACGGTGATGCATGGAAAAGGAGGAAATTGCAGTCCACAAAAATAAAATATTGCCTCAGCCATAGAATATTGAGAAGACAAAGTTTCATTTGCCTTTTATATGGCAGGAGAGGCTTCACAAATTGAATATTAGAGGAGTATTGTAACAACTTATATGCTTCATACTTGCAAAATAGAAGCCAAAGAGTGAAAATTGGAAGTATGGCAAGTGAAACCTCTTGCGGTAGTACGTAATGGTAGGGCATTTGTTCAGGAATGTAAATAAAAAAGAGTTGTACACTATTGTTATAATAAGATTCATGATAACTATTACAGAAATAATTTACCAATCAAATATAACATTCATAGCGTGAGCGATCAAAACTTATCTCTGTCCTTTGTTAGACCATCAGCAACTCAAAGGCATTCAAAAAGTACAACATCAATTGTACCAGGCTGAACAAATGCTAGGGTAGTGATAGTTTCTGATTTCTATTGTTGTATTTGAAAAGAAATAAATTTACCTTCCGCAAGGCCGTTATTCCTCAACTGTTGTCTCTGGTTTCAGTTTAATGTCATCACGGTCGAATTTCAGATTGGAGGTATGGAGGTGGACCTGCCGCGTCTCTACCAGACCGTGCAGAGTCTCGGGGGCTTGAAGGAAGTGATCGAGAAGAAGAGGTGGCCGAAGGTGTCAGAATGCATGAAGATACCGAAATCGGCGCAGGACCGCGTGACCAAACTGGACGATATTTATTGCAAGTACCTTTTGCCTTACGACACGTTGTCGCCTGCGGAACGGGAGAAGCTCTTCGACGAGGTGGAGACTGAGTGGGCGAAGCGCGAGTCCAAGGGACTACTCAAGGCAGAGGAAACGGTGGGAGAGGGGCCAGAAGCGCCGGACGACGAGTACGAGTCGGACGACGAGATCGAAGAGTGCATAGTTAAGGGCCGCAACATGGCCTTGAACGCTTTCTACAGGGTGGCCCGTAATACGATGTCGATGCACTTTAAGAATACCGAACCCAACGCACAAGAGGTAAGCAAGTCGATCCACCATTTAGACGTTTATTTTGGAACGGGAGCAGACAGTTTGGCATTTTTGTTTTTCCTCACGGTGTTAAAAATTTAGGGAAAACTTTTGAAATGGTTAACATCTTACCTTACTAAAAGAGTGCAGATTGTGGCGTCCAGACCTTCCAATCCACCCAAATTAAAGTGCCCTCTGGTGTTCCGTAAGAATCACACCTGGGACCCCTACCGTTCAATATCTATGTGAATCGTATCGCTTATGTTTTGATCATGCATTTTTCCTATTATTTGCTGACGACCTAAAATTCTATATGAGAATCCAAAATGCTGACGACCATATAAAACTACAATCCGATTTAGATCACCTATCGGTATGGTGTGATTTTAATGGAATGGAACTAAATATTAATAAATGCCAATTATTGAACTTCAACCAAAGCAGAAACCCCATACTTATAACATAAAAGGGTCTCTGTTATTGCAGACCTCCGTAATAAGGGATCTTGGAGTATTGCTCGATATTAAATTGACTTCCACACACCATGTTTCATCTATTGTGTCTAAATCACTTCAGATTTTGGGCTTTATTAAACGTTGTACAGTGGACTTCCAGATTATTCCGTCTCTCGAATTACTGTTCTCCCTGGTGCGTCCATACCTGGATTATATAACGCCCACGTATAAAAAGAGTGCAGCATAGGTTCCTGCGGTATCTAGCATTTTGGGCAGAGTTCTTTTCTTACAAAATCAGCCCAGTCGCACTAGAAAATCGCTTTTCGGACCAACTTGACTGCTTCCAGAGTGCAAAAATGTTTAAAAAAGAACTAAAAGATTGTCAGTGAAATTGTTCCGTTGTCTGACGTCTGAATAGTATTGTTTAACAATGTGTTGATGCCTCGCTACTGTTATATGTGTTCTTAGTGTCGTGTCGACTCCTATATCAATATTAATGTTTTACAAAACCAACGTTTTTCATACCAGAGTCGAGTCTGTATCGATTTCATTCTGTTTAATTTTATTTTATTTTGTTTTTTACTATTTTGTTTATGTGAATCTTATTTTATATTGGACGGTTGGCCCATTGATAAATAAATAACGAATATGCAGAGCTTACGTATGTATATGGAGGGAAAACCTGCAAAATTAACTTGAAAACGAATCGACCAATAAAACACCTATTTTAATATTTAATTTGGTTCCGTCACCATATTTGTATGAGCTAAAAACCGAAATGTAATCTCAATCATACAGACAATCGCATTGCTCCACCAAAATTCTCCGAGCAAACAGTTTAAATCACACTGTAGACCCACTCCCTCCTCCCCCTACATCCAAATGTAATAAATGAACTCCGAAGTAACAAGATTCATGGGACATAAATAATCAACACAGCCCCATAACTCTCAAAAACGCGGTTAAAGGGTCTATTGCGACCCCATAGCCACAGCTTTGCATTCAGTGTTTTTTTCCACTCGGTTTAGGATTAGATGCTATTTAGCCGCGCATTATGTTTTCATTCATTTTTTGGCAATTGGTTTAGCCACCCCACAAAAGGGTTTTGATCCAATCGTGCGGCTTGACAAGTCTTCGCGAGCTGCTCCGTCGGCGTTTTCACTTCACTTTATTCTGCCTTGTTATTTCGTTTGTTATGGCAACAATCAAAAACTAACTTGGATGTTATTTTGTCGGATTGCATAGCTTTTATTATAAATCGTTTTCGTCTTGCGTAGTGTTCTAATGCGGTACACTGTTGCTGTTGCCATAGAAATGTTTACTCTGTGTATCAAATTATTTTTGTCCGTATTGGTGGCCAATTTTTCCAGTCTCCTCTCGTTGGGTTTTGAGTCCTTAATTGTGTAAAAAAGCAACACTTGGGTGTAGTGTTGTCCATAGGCAGGCCCAATTATTTGTCTGCCTTTTTTTTTTAGTGACTTGCCTTGCAGGTCGCATTTAAGATGAAGACGCCCCTATATTTTGGCTAACTAAATAAATACGGATTTGAAGTTTTGCACAATCATACAGGTTGTGTTACTGTGCTATGGAAAGAAAAATGTCTGCAATATGGTAAATTTAATAGTGTAATTTAAATTCTTCAGTGAAATAAATAACACTAACACAAAAGAATAAACATTTTACTTTAAGAATACAATAATTTTTAGTAGGTAACGGATTAAATTAAATTAAAACAATCATTTCGATAGCACAAATATCAATTCATGAAATGTCGTCTCGCTCGAATTCCTCTTTGTAATTCGTTTAAGATTTTGTCTGGATACTCGTCTAAGTTCTGAGATGTAATGCCTATTATTTGGTGTCCCAATATCCCACACCAGACATTGACTGTCTGGGAATGTTGATCTTTACAATTTATAACCCAGTTTTGGTGATAAATTGTCTACAATTTTGAGATGATACAACTCCAATGGTGATGAATATACCCTCATCGGTTTTCAAAACATTACCTCGGGCTCAATAACAATAATATAATCTTTTATTCTTCTCATCGCCTTCTTTTAATGTATGTAAGAACTTTGGTTTATAGTTCTTGATTTTGTGACGTATGGAACATCGTCTGATTTTATCCTTAACTAACATTCAGCTGAGGTGATAAATCTGGATGGATTTCTAGCTAGTATATCATTATTATTATTAATATCATATTATATTATTAGGATCCGGGTTGCACATTTGCATTCGGTGAACAATAAATAGAACTCAATGTAATTAACTGAAAGTTTAATCTGATAGATATTAAGTGTCAAATTATTACATTCCATGGCACACTATTTTTTTGAAAAGAAAAAAAAACTTATAATAATTTTGTCATGAAATTTAATATGTGGGGTTAGAATAATATTCGGAACAAGACTAACATCAACTTGTATAATTGTGCCAAACTTCTTCCAGTAACTTTCTCTAATGCGAAGTAAAATATCAAAAATTGATCCTAATTTCAATTGAGTCTCTTAAACAATGTGAACCATCAACCTGTATCACTGTGCAAAATCTCAAATCTGTATTTACTTAAATAGCCAAAATGTATTGTTGCCCTCATCTCAAATGCGACACACTTCGCTTTATATGTAGATCTGTATTGGTAGAGTATTCAGTAGCTTTTGAATACTAAATATTCAAACGCGGTTGAACGGTAAGCGAAAATCAACCGTTTCAGGTGGAGCAAGAGTTTTGGAAGTACGTGATCCAAAAACAGAACCACATCTGCGTCCATTCGGCGTCGATAGATTGCGGCAGTTGGGGCTATGGATTTGCCGTGTCGAAAAACAGCCCGTTCGCGCGTCACGCGTGGAACCTCAAAGTCTTGACGAACAACGGCAATTCGGTTCTGCGGTCGTTGGGTCCGGTGATGGGCGTGACGGTGCCAACCCTGCACGTCGGCATGGTGTTTAGCGCGTGCTGCTGGTACCGGGATCCGCACGGACTGCCGTGGATCGAATACTTGCACACTGGCGGCAACAAAATATGGTACGGGGTGCCGAATTCGTCCTGCGACCAGTTCCACGCCGCGCTCAAACGCCTCGTGCCCAACTATTGCCAGAACAAGGAGCTGTGGTTGCCGTCCGACACAGTGATGGTGCCGCCCAACCTTCTCATGGAGAATAACGTATCGTTGTGCAGGTATGCTTCGTCATTGCATAGTTGCCAAGTTGTGGCGGAAATTTAAAAATTTGCTTTTTTGTGTTAGATCTTGAATGTTTTTTATTACTATCGTCAGCAGTATAAGTACCTAGGAAGCTATGTTACTGAAGACGGATACACTGAAAAAGATTTTAACAATAGAATTACACAAGGTCGTAGAGCGATTCGACAACTGAACTCCATTTTGTGGTAAAAAAAAACAACATTTACAAAGCTATTATTGAACCCATCACCACACATATAGCTGAGAAAATTGGCAAATAACATATAGAACGAAAGAACGGCTCAAAGCTGTAGAAATGAATTTTTTGATACAAGCATCCAGATTATCCCGATTTGAATATATTCGAAACGAAACAATTAGAGAAACAGGATATTTTAAATATAGCGCAGACAACTGATGTGGTATGGCCACATAAACAGAATGGAATGAAATAGGTGGCCAAGAAGACGACACTAATCTGGCCTTTGCCTCTCATATTGAAACCAATTGCAAAGATGCAACAACATCGATGGGCTATATATTTCCTAACGCTAAAGAGTTTCGGAACATTCAGGCTCTCAAAGCATTGTTTTTTAGCTGTCAGATCCAAGCTTGAGTACTGTGCGACAATCTGGCTCCCCATTCACGCTAAATATATAGACCAATTGGAGGGTATAAACAGAAGGTTCCTTAAATTCCTGGCATTTAAAACTGACGGAGTGTTTCCGGCGTGGAGTACTGAACAGTCATTACTTTTGAAAAGATTTGAACTCCCGTTTTTAAAATGGCGAAGAAACTATCTAGCGGTTATCTTGCTCTGCAAAATTGTTCTGTCCAGGATTGACTGCTCGGAGTTTTTAATGCCATGTTCCTCAAAGATCTGTCCGCAGTTCGCCGATTTTCCACCTGCCTACCCCATCTACAAATTTCCTTATAAAAACCCCCTTATACAATGCTATGTATCTTTTCAATGACCGTTGTAGTGATATTGACATTTTCAACCTATAATCAGTTATCAAACATTCTCAAAACAAAATTTTTTGTTTAGGCAATTCCATGTCACTAGTTGCGGAAGATCCATACCACAATCCTGCGTTCAATATTAGTATGACTCCTAATTTGGTTAGTTATAATATAAAATATAAAACAGTACGTGCGGACATTAAAAGAATTGTTGATGTCGCATATAGAAACTACATCTTTAAAGCAGAAAATGCAGTCATAGAGGATCCGACTTATTTCTTGTCGTTTATTAGATCTAATCGCTGAAATACGTAATAATAATACTACGTAAGCCCTGAAGAGATTGTTAATGCTTTTGCTAAGTTTTTTGTGGGGTATAAAATACTCCTCAACAGATCCCTCAGTTGAATGGATTTTCGAATGCATATATTATCATTAATAACTTAACTGATGACATTATTTTAAGACCATTAGCACGAGTTAACAAAGTATCTTGTGGTCCTGATACAGTTCATTTTTTTCGTTGTGCGAGATCGATACAGACCTGTATCGATAAAATCGCCTTTTGCGAGTTCTTTCGAGATTTCGCTGCATGATAGTATTTTCATCCAAATGAAATACTTGGTAACCCGCAAACAAAATGATTTCTTTAAAGATCGAAGCACCATCAGTAATTTGGCTTGCTTTACAGAATTCACTGCTAAGGCTTTGGACGCCAGGAGGCGGGTGGATGTGCTATACACAGAATTTTCAAAAGCCTTTGACCGGGTGGACCGCACTGTACTGCTCTAAACCGAGGATGCTTGGATTTTGTGATGACCTTGTGGCATTGATAGTCATAACTTCATAACAGAATACAGTATGTGAAGCTCCGCGGTCACTCATGGCTTAGGTTCATTGCTAGTACCGGCGTTCCCCAGGGTAGCAATTTAGCGCCGTTGATATTCTTGCTTTTCATTAATGATATAGTAGCTAATATTAATTATTAGATTATTGGTTCTTCATGTGCTTCTATTACCTACCCCTGAATACAGATAAATATTTCGCAATGACATTTTCAAACAAAATACCTTTTAATTACCATCTGGATCACGTATTATTAAGAAAATGTGACAATTTCAAAGACCTGGCTGTAATGTTTCACACAAAACTCTCTCCTTCACGAATCATGTCGGTAAAGTCTGTGGAAGTGCGCTTAAAATACCGGGATTCATAGTCTGAAACTCTAGAGATTTTGCAAGGGAACATACTTTAAAACTGTTATGCTATAGTTATGTGGCAACCATTATTTGGTAAGTACATCACCCAAATTGAAAACCTTACAAAGAAAATATCTGAAACTTCTTCACTTTCATATAAATGGTTTCTACCCGGCTAGGGGATTGCCACATACTAATGTTTAAGGTTTCCTCGCTATTGAATCACAGGAGGTACCTTTCATTTCAGTTTTTATATAAACTTTGCAATTCATTAGTGAATTGCCCTAAGTTGCTGAGCTAGCTGAACTTCCATGTTCCCTCAAAGACTATAAGGGCATCACCTGTATTTCACCTAGTAACACCAAGAACCGATTTTTTGATTAAAGGTGTTCTCTATCAGTTGATGAAACTATGTAATGACTTCTGTAATGATAGTGACGTTTTTTGTCTTAGTCGCTCACAGTTTACCACATTAATTAAACGTAAATATGAAATATTATAATGGGGATTGTATATTTCACTATTACTTTGCTGGAGTGTATATAGTTGACTACTTAATATAGTTATAGTTCTCAATATGAAATTTTCTTCTAAATGGATGTTAATCTGTTAGACTATAAAGATTATTATTAAAAAATACCGACTTGTATTATATTATCCTCGTGACGTCATTCGTTTGTTTATCTCAGGGCGGTTCAAGAACCGGGTCAGTTCGTGGTGGTGTTTCCTAAAGTGTTCACGTCAAGCATCAGCACCGGTTACGTCGTCTCGGAAAGCGTCTACTTCGCGCCGCTCTACTGGCTCAAAACCGCTCAAAGCTTGTTCGACGACTTGAAAAGTAGCTGCGAGCCGTCGATGTTCTCGCTCGCCAAGCTTCTGCTGAGCATCGCGTCGGACACCAAGTCAAGCACTGAAGTGTTGAAGCTCATCTTGCCCCACATCGAGGAGCTGCGCGAGCGGGAGAAGGTCGAGCGCGCAAGAATTCGCGGTTTCGGCAACGTGGAAGAGGAAAAAATGGCAGCGCCCGAGTCCGGTTGCAAAAAGAAGAAGAAACCGCACCCGAGCACCGACGAGAACGAGTTTGAGTGCGACGTGTGCAGGATGAACCTGTTTGTGTCCATGGTAAGAGCCTAAGTGCGATTAATTTGTGGATGGATCACGACTAGGGGTATATTTCAGATGATGGACGTGCAAAACGACTTGGCTTACTGCCTCGAGCACGCTGCCGAGCTGCTGGAGAAGGACGCAAAACTGGCAGAGTCGTTTAGATTGAGGTACGCGTACGAAGAGCGCGAACTGGAGGGCGTGGTCGAGAGAATCAATGCCGCGATCGATGCGAAGCTGCAGAAGAAGGTGCCGAATAAGTACGCGGGTATGCCGACTTTGCTGACAAAATAAAGAACATTTGACCTACGCCAGATGTATCAAGCTTTAGCTGTGATTGGTTTGTGTGGGAGGCTTCTGACGGTCGGCTTTTTGGGAGTGCCGTTCGTCCGTCAAAAGCCGTTCACCGAGTGTAAATTTTGCTTTCGGATTATTAACGCGGTTGGTAATTGTAAAAAATTTGTTGTTTAGTTTGTGTAAATAAAAAGTCCGATGGTGATTGGGTGTTTTGGTTTTATTCGACCCTTCCCCGCGGCCAAACTAGACCGAGAGTCGATAAAAAATATATGTAAAAGTTGTTACATTACATGCGATTCTTTCTTTTTTAAGGGAATGCTCTACAAGTATAAAATTATATATGTCGGAGTCAATTAGTGAAATCCACTATTCCTTGAAACATGTTTTTCGTGATCTAGGAACAATCTGAGAGGGTGATAAAAGACATTACTCCTTCGTTGTTTGTACCCCTTACATTCCACCAAAACATAATACCAGTTTTATAATTAACATCTACATTTTAAAAAAACAATAAAATCACTCCTGTCCCAAGCAAATGAATTATTATAAAACCGTTTTGAACGTGACAACAGTGAACGAATTTGAAGTAGGCTGCTATAGTTTGGGGTTTTTGCATATTTTGATTGGAGTAATAATCATTTTACTTTTTGTAAAGCAAATCTGAACGCATACATGTTAACAACAATTACAATGAGCGGCTGAAAACGGCATTTGACTAAATCAAGAAATTTCATTAATTGACGCCGACATATATATACGCACAATTTCGCCGTGGCATGAAATTGCGAATTTTGACAGACGCCATTTTTTACATTAATCTTCAAATTGCTGAAACTGGCCGGAAATTGTGCGCGGTACCTATAACGGCAACACAAACGGATCTGTAAACATATCGAACGACGTTTTTTTTTAGATTCTATAGCTTACATCATATCAAAGTAGTTCAAACGTTCCGGCAGAGTTCATTCATTGTAACATATCTGATATTTACCTATTTATTATAATAGTAGAAGTTTGTTTATTATACGATATTGTCGAAAGGGTATTTTTAAATTAAACGCGTCAACATCGATTTTTTATGAATTTCCTTATCATATTCACAAATCCGATTCGCAAATAATACGCAAATAATACAAAATGTACTAGGCTTATATTAATTATGTGCCGTTTTTACATCAAACGACAAAAGACTAGAAATTTGTGCGCAAAGCAATTGGGGTTACGTCCAACAAAGGTAAACAGCGCTGTGTTCGGCAACTCCCGACGAACGTTGATGACGTAACACGGCCCAATCGAAGATTCCGTATTAGTTTACAATAGCTTTACAATAGAAATCTGCCTGCCAAGCACTTGTTTGTTTACAGTTCTTGGGTTAAGACTTGATAAAATTGATTTAGATCAGCAGATTCGCGGTACATAAAAACAGTTTTTGTAAATAAGACAAAACTCTGTGAAAAAACTACGATATGATATATACATGTTTAGACAATTTTCAAAAAAAGTTAAAAAATACATTTATCCGTAAGAACAGACAAGGATTTCCCCTAAATAGTGATGTGTTGAGGGTAAAAACAATTCGGGCGTTTTATTATCCAACGTAAAATCTTAGCAATTCAATACAAATTAAAAAAAATCACTTACCCGTTGGTTTCAGAACAAACAATTCAACGCGCTATATCCTGCGAATGGAAAAAAACATAAAAAACAATACTGCTCGGTGGGCACTTGTAGGCAAAAATTCAAAATCAAATGCAAAAAGTGGGTACTATCACATTGAAAATGAAGGTTTCGAAAGTTGGCTAAGAGCTATACCTCTTTTCCCTGTTTAAAATATCAAACAACACCTGAGTGTCACTTTTGTCGTCGTCGCTACTCAAATCGCAAGTCAAATCGTCTTCCATTAAATAATCACTTAATTCGTACTTTTCGTGAGCGGCGTTGTATCCTCGAACGGGATTCTTGTTTGGGGCTGTCTTCAATTTGTGGACCACGTGAAACGAGATGCCGCATAAGCACACGAGCAGACCTACGATATTGATCGGAGACATTACATCGCCGTTTACCTCTACTGCTAGGCCTAATATGAAAACTTCCTACAAAAAAAATTAACTCTATTCGCCGATGCCAAACAGCCATTATGTACAAAATAGTCGCATTGGAGAATGAAATGAAAATATAATAGCATGAACATCCCAATTGGGCTTCTTAGACCGTATGGCAGCATTAACTAAGGAATATGTCAGTGTTAATAAATTAATGAATAGATGTAATTTTTTCGATAGGTTGAATGGCCAAAACTGAGCTTATCATTATTTAAGGGAAACTGCTTTTAAAAAGCTTTGAAGTTTTGTTAATAAGTAAGATTCCTCTTCTTTAACAAACAGTAAAAGAAAAACCGCAGAACACGAATATTAAAATAGTTTTTTGAAATAGAATGCTCAGAAACTAAATCAATTTCTAAGAAAATATCTATTTTTAACATTAGTAAACCTGACCTTGTAGTAAAGTTACTTGAATGTCTTACCTTGAATATTCCGGCAATTGCAAGGGTTAAGCTGGAAGTGTAGGTGACCAACATAACTTCACTAAGCTCCATAAAAAACGCGATCAGTGCTCCAAGTAATACTTTTAGTGCAAGAATTGCGAATTCCGATGAATTCGTGAACCCAAAAACCTGGCAACTCCTGACAACATCAAAACCCTCATTCCAAATGGCAAAAGGCAGTACTGATGCTATCATCCAAGGTTGCATGTGATAAATCATGTCAACCGGGTTATTCATACCCATTTTAGACTTTTGTAGCAGCAACTGCACACAAGTCCACCTTAACCCACTTGATATTGAGGCAAACAATAACAGGGTGAACCCAAATACACTGAATTGGGTTGATTTATAAGTAAAAAGAATCAGTCCAGTGGTTATCATGAATACTATTCCCACAAGGCTCCAAGATTTCTTCTCCAGTTTGAACAATATTGAGAAAAACAATATAAACACTATGGTAGTTGATTTGGTCATTGTATACAAAGAAACTGTAATCAGTTCAAGACCCCAATTGGAGAAACCAATGTCTATCCCACTAAACAGCCCCGTGGGGGCCACAGCTGTGACATACTCCTTCCAGCCAATTACAGTTCTTTGTTTGTTTTGCCTTTTTATTAGGATAAATCTTATCATACTTGCCAGTAAATATTTCACAAACATATGGACTAGGACTGTTAGCAAAGGAAAGGGGAACCGCTAAAACAAAGACATGTTACATTTGCCCGTCCAGATGCAGATCGTTAAATACCTGCAACAACCATCTCTGATAAAATGTTAGACCCACGGATGGTATATAATAAGTGCCTATCAGGACCCCGGTAAATAGTGATGACCATAAGCACGCAGGGCTACAAATTTTTCGCCTCATCGGCTCGAATTCAACCGTTTCTACCTCATGAGGGAGATCCGATTTATCTACAGCTGTATACTTTACACCTTTTTTAAACATTTTAGAAATAAATAACTATGTCCGAAAGCATTTTATTGTTTCACGCTCTAACATCACTGATCGTCACTCTTCATATTACTTTTCCGGAAAACATCAAAAATTCACCGCCTTTAATCTTTTTGTTGACGTGTAATCAAAATTTAGATGTAAATAAAAAAAGTGTCACTACTAGCATCTTCTTTTTTATGAAATTTGGTAACAGAAAGCCACAAAAGAAGAAGACAATATTGGGGGTTAGGAAGGTAATAATTCATATTTAAAAATGGACGGAATTTTAGCATTAGGTCATTTTTGCGAATCTCACGGGCCGTGTGTAATACTTTGCACTCAAAGATGCAAAGAGGAGCCTAAGCAATTCCCCCACAGCCTTACAGTTCCGGTATGTGAAGCTTGTCAGTCTTTGGATTTGGAACAAGCCATGGTGAGCAAGGGTGAAAATACATGTTATGTGACGACTCGGACACCTTTGCAGCAAGATCTTGCATTTCTGTTGAAGCAGGCTGTTGTTAGAAGTCTTAGTTGTGAAGTAAGTCCAATTCAAATTTTAAGATGTTTTTTTTATGGTAAAAAAGAAATATTGTAGGAGACAAGTAAAGATGGCGGTACCTTGTATTTTGGAGATAATGAGAGGGGGCATGTAATAAGCCATATTTTTTCTGTACATGATTCGTTGGCAAGGGGATTTCTGAGGAAGTATTGTATTTTATTGCTCATGAGAGACAGGGTAATATACAAAGAAGGATCAGAGTTAAGTAGCCGTACCTAATGATTTTAGATACACTTGTTGAACTCTTGGCCATTTATAACCAAACATGTAAAGCAAATTTCTGAGGATTTACAAAAGAAATCTGAGAAAGTTAATAACATTGAGCAAATGCATAAATCTCAGAGAGCAGTGAGGCAAGCCCAAGGTTCTCCTACTAGTGTAACAAGGTCTTTATCACAGCTTACTGGAGAACCAGCAGTATTTGCTCATATGCACCTGTGGTTTACTTGGCTATTAAGTGCAGAAACTGTTGTTGAAAAGCCCTTAAATGTGCCTGAGTTCCCAGTAGAATGTAATGCTTTAAGATTGAGGGAAATCATTAGAAATATGAGTCAGGTCTCTTTGAACACAATTTTCATTACAAAATATTATTACATAGGTTTTAGGATGTGTTCCACAAGGTTTGCTACTGTTTCCTCACTGGTATAAAAGTAGAAACAAATGATCAAGAAATAACACCTACCTTCCAACAGCTCTTACCTAAAAAATTTACTTTACCAAAGACTGGAGATGTATGCAAGTTGGAAAAAAACAATGATGGCTCATATTCCGTGGTCTGGAGTGGCTGTTTGCCACAAAAACTGCCAACATTACTTAGGTCTGTAGAAAGTGCCTTGAGAGATACAAATCTCCCAGATTTGGCTCTCAATTCTTATATTACAAGTCTTTTGTTGAAATGGCATAACATTGCGTCAGTTATATGCCAAGCTCCAAGTAATAGCTCTGAATTGTTGAAGGCTCTGGGAGTTCAGAAGTGTGATATGCCTCTGTTGTCATATTGGATTGCATATTGCAAAAGTTAATTCTTAATTAATAATTGTATTTTGTGTAAAATATAAAATGTTTATTTTTCTTATGCCTCTTTATTTAAGTTTACATTTTTTTTGTTTTTCTTACCTTTGCGCTTACTTTTCCTGCTTGTTTCTTCTGTCTGTGATATTACATCAAGTTTTCGTTTCTTCCTTTTGCTTTTTTTCACAATTTCTTCATGTGCTTTCTCATCATCACTCACGTCCACTTCTATGACAACCTTACTCTTTTTATTAAAAAGCAGTTCCTCCTTTTCCGCCAACACTAACTCTTCCTCTTCTTTTTTAATTTCGCACATTAACCCCGCAACACAAAGGCAAGTAATACGACAACCAGTCTTCACTGAGCTCACTTCCTTCAATTTTCTCGTCCAAACTTTAATTTCGCCATCACTGCACGCGCTTACCACAAAACCCTCAAAATATTTCGCAGCCTTAACTCTCGACTCATGCCCTTTTTTGATTTTTTTTGATTCGCTGTTTATGTCAATCCGGGCGATGTTGCCATCTTCATAGCCCACAAATAGGGTATCATTGTCTACCCAAGTGCTACATGTAACTTTTTGCTCATGTTCAATTACTTTTAGGACTCCGCCTAATGAGATGCACCATATTTCCGTGTATCTTCCACCATAGAGCAAAAATCGGTTATCATCCGGAGCAAACACAATTTTTTCTATGCTCTTGGGGTCCTTGCATTTGGTATTTAAGTTTATTATGTAGGCAGAACGTCCTTTTACTAAATTCCAAGTGTGCAAAGTGTGATCAGCACCCAAAGTAAATGCCAATTTACCACTAGAATGAACGGCAATGTCCAAAATCTCACATCCTTTATGAGGTTTGTCCCATATTTTCTCGACTTGCCAGTTGCCCACACGTACTATAGTTAAAACACCGTCTTGGCTAGCCGATATTACATGCGAATGATCTTTCGAAAAGCAAACGCAAGATATGGAGGCATCATGATGAGTTAGCATACAATGTTCTTTTCTGGTCTTCATATCGTAAATTATTATACGGTCGTCCGATGCTCCGGATGCCAAATAATGATCATAGGTCGAAACGCAACGCACACTACCGCTGTGATCGTGCGACGCGAAGCTGTTCGTCAAAGTTTTGGCCTGAATAACGGTAAGGTTAAAAACAACATAATTACACAGTAATTATAATATCCTACTTCACCCGAAAATACGTATCCTAGTAGGTATTCCTCGTACGTGCCGACGATAATTTCGAAACTTGCACTTTTCGGCATTGCGTGTGTATAATATTTAAATTATCTAAATAGGGTTATAAGCACAGAATACTAAGGTCAGTTCTATAAAACTCTTTTACTTCAGTTCACTCAGTGACAATGGGTAACATTAATTTGGCTTGTGTATAACAGGTAATTCATTTAAAACGAAGGATTGTTCTACGTAAATAGGTACAAATACATTTAAAACAAAATACCTTGAAATTTATTTCTGTGTCTCTTGAATGCTAAAAATAGGATCGTTGTTACCTAATGACCTTATCTGACCGCACATGCGAACGCTGATTTAAAGTTTTATCAGCAAGTAAAAGGCTTGCCGGAATTTCAGTACCCATTTATCAGTCTGTATGAGTATGTTAAACCGATAACGAACTATTATACCGCGTTGGTGTTGCTGGGTGAATATGATGCCGATCATGTTTTACGTTGTTTTGCTTGTGATTATCCTGGTTTTTTATGTCTGGAAAAAGCACTTTAAAACCCAGAACGCTCCCGATATCGAGGAACTATGGTGGCGACCACGGGAGGACGATCATGATGAAACAATTAAACCATTCAAAATCGACATACCGCGAGAGGTAACTAACCAACCAGCTCGTTCATATTTACAGAGCGATACTTTTGGTTTAGATTATCGCCGACCTCAACCAAAGACTAAGCAGCGTGTTACCTTTTGAACCACCCCTAACCGACGACCACTCCTTCGGTGTCAACACTAAATTTTTAAACGAAGTCGTCGATTACTGGAAAACGAAATACGACTGGTCGGAAAGGCAAAAGTTTCTCAACCAGTATCCCCAGTTCCAAACCCGCATCCAAGGCCTAAACGTCCACTTCCTCCACATCAAGCCCGAAAACCCGCCCGATTTGGCAACCGTGCCTCTGCTGCTCCTCCACGGCTGGCCAGGATCTATCAGGGAATTTTACGAAATCATTCCTTATCTCACAAAACCCCAACCCGGTCGAGGTTTCGTATTCGAACTCGTCATTCCATCTTTGCCCGGATACGGTTTCTCCGAGGCACCGTCGAAACCCGGCTTGGAATCGACGCAAATGGCGGCAATTTTCAAAAATCTCATGATTCGCTTGGACCACCCGAAATTCTTTGTGCAGGGTGGAGATTGGGGCGCGATAATCGCCCAGGACTTGGCAACGTTGTACCCCGAACACCTGTTGGGGTTGCACAGCAATATGCCAGTGAGTCGGGCGCCCATAGGCGTGCTCAAGATATTTTTGGGGTCGATCCATCCCTCGCTGGTCGGCATTACCGAAAGGGAGCGCAAAAAAATCTATCCCATGTCGAAAGTGAAACAACTGATGTATCAGGAGACAGGATATTCCCATCTGCATTTTACTAAGCCCGATACCATAGGAGTGGCTTTGAGGGACAGTCCCGTGGGTTTGGCCGCTTACATTTTGGAAAAGTTTATCACGTGGACCGACATAAGGTGGCAGAAACGGAACGACCACGCCGAATTCTTGCAAAGGTTCGATTTGGACCACCTCCTCGACAATATAATGATCTACTGGGTGACGAGAACCATAACGACCTCTATGAGGTTGTACGCGTTCCGGTTCCAATCGCAGGTCAACTTGGACAGGTCAGTAAAAGCAATAAACCCAAGTAGATACAATCAGCATCTGTGAGTGTTATTATGACACCACGTAATTTAATGAGTAAATCTGGACCTTGCCCTGGTGCGGGATCACGCGATCAATGATTTTTTCTGTTGAATTCGGAAAATAAGATTATGTTTTTTTCAATCTATAAATAATATCATCAAAATATAGCATTGGTTGGTCAGTTGGTTCTATATTCAATTCAAAAAACAGTAGAGACTTATCGAGGGTGTCATCTCAAACTCAAAAACTGACGAACATTTGCGAAGTGAACTTTAACGTCTTGCGTTGTTTATGCAAGGATAATAGAGGTTTGGCTGGTTGAGCGTTAATTGGTTTTATCACGCAGAGTTCCGGTTATAGTGCCCACGGGCTTCGCCAAGTTCTTCAATGAGCTCTTCTTCTTTCCGAAAGCGGCCTTGGAGGACAAGTTCATCAACGTCGTCCATTTCCGAGAGTACGACGTGGGCGGCCATTTTCCCGCTTTTGAAGTGCCCGACGTGTTGGCAAGAGATATTTTCGACTTTGTGGAGGTGGTCAGATCCCTATGAATCGTAATTTTCGGGTTAAATATATTCACTTCAGTATTTTGACAGTGTTTCTTTTGCACGACCCTGTATACGGACAAGATTAATAAAAAATATGGTATCATATCGAAATATATGAACATGATAGAAACAAAATCAGAAAACTAATTACTAATTTCTATTGAAGACTTTAAATTGGGAGAGCTCAATAGGGCGTTTCAAAGTAAAACGAAATTTGACTTCAGCCGGGCGGAACGTAGTAGATCTACAATATTCATAAATTGAAAATTTGGAGCTTGGAATTTATAGTAAAGAAAGTATGGCGGTTAAGAATACTTCTTTACTCCAATAACTAATACGGATAGTGTCCAAACCAGACAAATTTTCATTTCGATATTAATTCTAATAAATGAGATTTTTTCTTAAAATTTTCCACCCTACATCTTAAACTCCATTTATTTTCGGAGATACTTTTATAAGACCTTTTAATGCTTGAAATATTATAATAATTAATTAAATTACACCCTGTATATGAGTGCGAAAATAAAATATGCAAGTCCGAACCTGCACATTCGCGAACAGGTTCTCAAACCTACCCAGACGAGATAAGTAAAACAAACAATCGGCGTGTAAAAATAACTGAACATCAACCCGAGAACGTATCGAGATAAATTTTCGGCTTCATGCGAATTTCGCGATATTAAAGATGGCGTGCGCGTTGTGTTACGCGGGTCTGGTGGGCATCGTCTCCGTCGCGTACTACCTCTACGCCAAGTATGTGAAGAGTCAACCGCTGCCCCCCATCGACGAGCCCTGGTGGGGCAAGGGAGAACCTTTTGAAGAGGATGAAGCCATTAAGGAGTTCAAGATCAACGTTTCCGATCAGGTAGCGTGGGTTTTCGCGGCTTAAAATTTGTGGCATGGCCATGGGTTCACGGTTAGTTATGGCATATTTTTAAACGCGCAGTTAAAAGAAATGTTAGAAGACACCAGGAAGTTATGTTTTCTCCATGGGAGAAAAGATCAGCGTTTCAGAGAAAGAATGTGACTAAACCTTTGAGATACAAATAATAACACACAGCATTTAAGGAAAATGCCTAAATCAAGGTCAATCTAACAGGTTGTGAAAAATGATATTACTAGATTTTGAATGACACCTCAGTATTTTACGACTCACGACAGAAAATTGTTTTTAACAATTTTCTTAATCTTAATATGAAACACGAAACATGTTGTCACAAAAGATCGCTTTCTATTTTAAGTCATTTTATTATTACCTACAAAACCTTATTCGTTTCATTTCTGTCAAGGTCATAGAAGATCTCCATCACAGGCTCACGAATCACGTCCCGTTCGAACCGCCACTGACAAAAGACCAAAAGTACGGTATAAACACCAACTTGCTGAAAACCGTGGTAGATCACTGGAGGGACGAGTACTTACCTGGCTGGAGAGACAGGGAGCAATTCCTCAACCAGTATCCCCAATATGAAACCAGTATTCAGGGCCTCAAGGTGCATTTCCTGAGAATCAAGCCGGAAAATGCGGACGGGCTGGAAATCGTTCCGATCTTGCTGGTCAATGGGTGGACCAGCTCGTTCAGGGAGTACTACGAGGTCATACCGAAACTGACCAACCCGCAGCAAGGTACTTGACCTGATACGACCACATGGAGAAGTCCAATCGCGTACTTTCTTGCAGGCAACAATTTTGTGTTGGATTTGGTCATCCCTTCGATTCCTGGATTCGCCTTTTCCGAAGGCCCGGCCAAGCCCAACCTAAACACCGCTCATATAGCGACGATTTTCAAGAATTTAATGAAGCGCCTGAACATCGACAGGTACTACATTCACGGTACCGATTGGGGAGCTGCCGTCACTCAAGATATGGCCACCATGTTTCCCCAGCAGGTCTTAGGTTTTCACAACGCAATGCCGGTAGTAGCCACCCCGTTAGGCAAGTTGAAATTGCTCGTGGGTAGCGTATTGCCATCGCTGATGGGCATATCGAAATGGGAGTACAAGCGGATATACCCACTCTCCAAAACGAACCAGCGATTCTACCGGGAAACCGGATATTTTCACTTACACGTGACTAAGCCTGATACTGTTGGTAAGTAGGTGCTTGATTTAGTACTCTTTGGAGCTGACTGGTGGTGGCTTTAGGAGTGGCCCTTAGGGATAGTCCGGTGGGCACTGCGGCTTACCTGCTGGAGAAATTCATTACGCTGACGAATCTCGAGTGGGCAAACATGGAAGACGGCGGACTCACTAGGAAGTACTCATTGACGCAGCTCCTCGACAACATCATGATTTATTGGGTCAGCAGATGCATGACGACGTCCATAAGGATATACGCCTTCGGGTTTGGGCAATACGAGCGAAAAATTAACCTGGAAAGGTGAATGGGTGGCCCAACCAGTGGCGTAACTTGACCATTTCATGTCGTAGGGTGCCGGTGATAGTACCAACCGGCTTAGCTAGGTTCGCCAATGAAATGTTTTACCCGTTGCCCAAAGCCGCTCACGAAGGTAAATACGCCAATTTGGTGCACGTTTCGGATTTACCAGATGGAGGGCACTACCCCGCGTTGGAGGTACCTGAACTCTTCGCAAGGGATCTGTTGAAATTTGTCGACACGGTTAGGAAGCTGAGAGTTTGTTGATTGTAGTTTGTCTTTAATTTTATTTTTCTTCATAATAAAATGTATAAATTCCTTTGTGGTTCTTGTTATCGGGGGTGGAGACTAAATAGAGATGTTGTGGGGTCGACTTAGTGGCTGTGTAAAAAAAATGGAGGAAATCGAAAAAGGAGTAGAACATTGAAATTAACTCGTTTTCAGGAGTCCGGCATAAAAGGTGTCTCGGAAAAAACATTGATGATGAGAATTTAGATATGGGACTGTAAAAATTATTAAAAATAACAAACAAAAGTAATAAACAATAAACGAATCAATAACAACGAGAGTAACGAAATCAATAATATGTGGTTGTAGCTTTAGTTGGCTTACCGCATGAAATTTATTGATGATTTAGGTAAATTGAATTTATTTCCAAATAGAGGCAAGATTTTTGGAATACTTATTCGTTTTCTAAGACCGTAGTACGCCACCGTTGCTACGACAACGGTGGAAGATTTTATTCCAATGAAATCTCAGTAATTAATTTAATTTTTTTTGTTTTTTCATTCCAAACAAACACCTTTTTTGTTAACTAATCTAAACTTCGAAGTTAACCCTGCTATTGCAGAAAACTATAGTACGCTACTGTTTTTACGGTGTTTTAATAGCGTAGATATGAAGCTTATTTTCACTCAACCGAACAAACACTAGGAAATGTAATGAATATATATATATATATATATATATATATATATATATATATATATATATATATATATATATATATATATATATATATATATATATATATATATATATATATATATATATATATATATATATATATATATATTTGTTTTGCTTCTACTGAAAGTTGAAAAGGCTGCTTTCAACAGAACTAAAACTTTTACAATTTATTATGTAAAATTTAAACTAAGAAATTGACGAAAATGAGAAAATTTCCTTTAATTTTTCAAAATTTGTCATCTGCTCGCTGCCTTAGTAGTATGCCACGAAAAACACCAAAATTTAACTAACCCGAACACGATTGCTTATATTTCTTGCACTTTGCTGGCCCAACACCAAAAGAAACCTTTTTTTTAATCGCCCTATATGTTGTTTCCTTTATTCACCATTCGAGTATTTATTTAACTCACGCCCACTGAGTATCTCATATGATTGGTGCATTAAGCAACCAGTGACGGCGGCGTCCAATCTTTTTTCTACTCCCGCGTGCGGGAAGCCTCACTTTACACGTCAGTTTCGTTTCCCACGAATCCGAGCCACTTCGGACATTTCCGGGATTTTACCACACGGGCTTGGAGCAATCGGATGTTTTCGGAGATATTTCTCACGCTTTGAATTTTGACGTTTGTCAATTCTGACGGTCATGTCAGTGAATGTATTCGTGTTGTTTTGCGAAAATGTCAAATGCCGTTTACCGCACTTGCATACTATACTATTTCCGAATATAAATGGGAAAAAACGTATTAGTTTGTTGGGTTAACTCTCCAATTAAATATATGTACGTATCCACTAGTACCGGCAACTTGTTTGTTTATATAATTGTCCGATGTTAGAATTACAGTTTGACAGCACGACTTAGCATGATCTTTTTAAAAAGTTAGATCGCCAGACTTGTTCGCACACAGTATATGACGGTGCGAAAATCAAAATTCAAGAAATGCAAAGAACAAAAACCAAACAAAACTTTAGAAATAAATCTCAAACATCCCTGAACCACGTAGCAGATGGGATCACTTGGCATGATGTCAAACTAAATACTACAAAAGCCATGGCCATGCAAGTTCTGATAAAAAGGTATCTACCCGCTCAAATCGACTGAGTGGAATGGCAATAATTTAATTTAAATTTAAACTCACAAGCACCTGCAACACTCGCCATTTATCTATTGCTTCAAGTAATTGACGAATAAATGAAGAGAGCAGCAGTTTGTTTTACTTGTGGCCTCGATAACAATGGAACCCTATTTGTCTACCTATCTATATCTACAATGCGAGGTAGATTTTGCAAAATTTTTACCTCCGTTGTTAAAAATAAATATGCTTTGTAAATTTGTACTGCGTTGTGCATCTAGTCCGACATTAACTCAAAACTCGAGTATAAATGACTATTTTTCGCATCCTCCGCCTATGGCGTCAGTTCCACAAAATATATTTATAAAAGCACGCTCTGCCGATTAATAGTTGTAAACAATATCTCGTTAAAGTTGCATCGCACATGGGTTTGCTTGCGAAAGGCGCGCTTGGCGCGGTGCTTTTGACTTCCGCTTATCTTTACTTCAAAATTAGTAAGGTACCGCCTGTGCCACACCTGGAGGATACGTGGTGGGGTCCGGGCAAACCGACGAAAGAGGATATCGCCGTGAAGCCGTTCAAAATAAACGTACCAATCGAGGTAAATTGTTTGTTAATCATTAATGATTACCGCTGGTTGGTTCCTTAATGCCGTCGGCACACTTTTTTCACCTTGACGTCATGTCATTCGCATAGAACGATGGGGCGTCCTTTATCGGCGACTCAACATTGTGTTCCCATATTATAAACACTATTAGTTTTATATTATTTTTACAGGCTCGCGAAAGGATAAAATTAGGCATAGGTCCATTAAAAAGCTTTGAATGTGACAGCACAACAATTAAATGTATTAAAACCAAGATTGCTTTCGAAAAATCGTCGCTAGTTTTTCTATCGTGCTCGATGTGATCGATGTAATTTAATTGTGCATGCACCCTGTATAAAGTGACCTTCACATCTCGTTACAGCAAACATCGGTAAATCGGTACAAATTTGCACAAATAATAGCTTTGTCGAATGATATTTTTTGAAATATCTCGCGCCCTGTATAACTGACGAAACCTGAAACTCTCTCTCGACACAGTTTACGATAATGTTCAAATAAAATTATCCCATCTTTAACGGTTTTCCTTTATCGCCAATAATTTACCCACAAAAACGGAAATTTTTAGGATATTTTAGATTTTTTGCCCATAAACGACACACCCTGTATATGATTCAAACAATGTTCGAAGTAGAGGTTATAGCCCTGGATATTCCACGTTTCCTGGTCCAAGAATTTTTTGAAAATGGTAAATGGTTTTCGAGAAAATAATATTTTTCTGAAACCATGTTGTGCGCCATAATAATCATCGCGTCTTGACAGCCCCCGAAATAGCGATTTCAATATGGATTTTTTCAAATATCCTAAGCAGCGTATGTGATAGACGAAAACCGCAAATACAAAAATTGTAGCTCTTGATGCGGCCTATGACACTGTTTCAACCCATTAGCCATATTTTTTACGATTTTTGATTTGAGGTTAATAATTTACTCTGTAAAAGAACAATTTTCTATGTCTTATAGATTTTTGCCTATAATTTGAAAACCCTGTACATAATCGAAAAAATGCCTGAATTAAATGTTATTGCACTGGATCTTCCGCGTTTCTAGGTTTAAGAATTTTGCCGATCGGGTGAATGACTATGGCGGAAAACATATTTTTCTGGAAGCTAAAATTACCAAAAAAAAATTTCAAAAATTATTAAAAAATACTTGGTAAAATTTGATTTCACCCAATTTCTACCGTTTAAATGTCGACAGGGGCTTTTACTACTAAATTTGAAGCTATTATCTGCAAATTTAGGACAAAACACATTTCTCAATTTAGCACGGAATATCGGGAACACCCTATACAATAGGTAAAAACCTTAAATGCAAAAGTTTTTGCTGTCTATGTGGGGTATATTGCAATATAAAAGAAAGGGAGATCTGAATCATTTCTTCAATCTTTCAGTCAGTCATTTTCAATAGGTTCTGTTACGGGGCCAAGTCGATTGCTTCAAATTTCAGACACTTATCGTGCTTCATAGCCATGTCTAAAAAACAGTCGAAAATCGCGAAAAAAAGATGGATACCGGCGTTGGATCAGGGTCATTTCTTATAAGCTTATGTGCCTCGTGGAGGATTCAAAAGGAGGCAAATTTTAATTTTGTAGCTCCAAAGGTTCCAAAGTTATTCAGAAAAAAACTAACGAGAACGGAGAACGGACAGACAAAAAAAATTTTTTCGACGGTGATCATTTCTGTACCAACGGCGATCCCATAGGACCTACCGTTACCGAGATATAAAATTTTTATACGAGCGTAGATACTTTGGAAAAATTAGATTTCATCGATTTTCGAAAGTAACAAGTAGTATTTATTTCATAAAGACTACACTAAGCTTTGATTATTTTGCGTCTGCGGCGATATTACACCCAGCACACCCATAATTGCTGAGCAGTCATAGCTTTTACTGGCACTGACTTTTATTGAGAAATGTTGGGACGTCTATGGTTAATATACGGGAATGTAGTCGCGATATAAAATAAATCCGCATCATCATCCTAACGCGGAGAAATAAGTAGTAATGTTTTAAGTATTTCCCAAGGTTAAGCGATTACCGAAAACACTCACCATAAACGATAAGGTTTTTTTTCACGATTGTTACAGGTGATAAAAGACCTCCGCCATAGGTTGGAGATTTCGCCACCCTTCCAGACCCCGCTGGAGGGCGCGAACCAAAACTACGGCATCAACGCCAAACTCCTGCAAACCGTGGTCGACTATTGGAAATCGAAGTACGACTGGCCTAAGCGCGAGGAGTTCCTTAATCAATACCCCCAATACCAAACGAAAATCCAGGGGCTCAACATACATTTTATCCACGTCAAACCCCGAAACGCGAAAGGGTTGAAAGTATTGCCGATGCTGATGGTCCACGGCTGGCCCGGATCGATCAGGGAATTCTACGAGATTATTCCGCTTCTAACCGAACCTCAACCAGGTGAGATCTACCCCTACGCCGATACCCTTAGATGACGTTTTACCTCAGGTAGGAACTACGTGTTTGAATTGGTCATCCCCTCTTTGCCTGGTTACGGATTTTCCGATGGCGCGGCAAGGCCGGGCTTGGCAACAGCTCAGATGGCTCATATTTTCAAGAGACTCATGGAGCGTCTCAATTTCGACAAATACTATCTGCAAGGAGGCGATTGGGGGTCTTTGGTGACGCAAAACTTGGCGGCATTATATCCCGACAACGTGATCGGCGTCCACGGAAACACGTGCTTCGTGAACAGCCCTAGATATCACTTTATTTTGGCGTTGGGGTCGTACTTCCCGTCGCTCGTATTCGAAAACGAAGCGGAAAAGTTTAAAAATTCCCCTTATTCCAAAACCATTAGGTTTATGATCGAAGAAAGTGGTTACTTGCATATACAGGCAACCAAACCAGACACCGTAGGTGAGTGTGCGCTCCAGCTAGTGGAAATGGCTTCTGAGTTAATTCGTGCCTCCAGGTGTGGGTCTAAGAGAGAGTCCCGCCGGTTTAGCAGCCTATATCCTCGAAAAATTCATTACCTGGACGAACCCGACGTGGAAGAACTTGCCAGACGGCGGCCTTACAAGAAAATTCACCTTGGATCAGTTGCTAGACAATGTTATGATCTACTGGGTCACAAAGTCCATTACCACATCGGCTAGGTTGTACGCGGAAAATTTTGCGTCCAACAATACGGCCCTGCAGATCGACGAGTAAGTCTTACTATAAGAGGGTTAAGATTACTTCCATATTACTTGATGTTAAATTCGTAAGTACTTGATGAAAATCCCTATATATATATATATATATATATATATATATATATATATATATATATATATATATATATATATATATATACCGTGTCTTTATCAAATGTAATATTTACAAAGTACCTGCTAATATATATACCGAAAAATTAATTAAATTAATTAATTAATGTTGTGAGAATTTAAGTTTAATAATGCAGGGGTATTTAAACCTAATTGATCGTTAAGCAATACATGTGAATGTCTCATTTTGTTAATCTCCATGGCTTCCAATAAATTAAATTTTCTACTTTTTTGTGTTTAAGTGTGTAGAATAATCAGATTTTAGACTTGTTTTTAAACGCTTTTTTATGTTCGTTAATACGTTTCTTGAAGGAGCTAAAGGATCTACTTGTTTGTCCAATATAAATGTTAGGACATGATCTGCATTTCAACCTGTAGGCACCTGATTTTTGAGATTTTGGACATTTCGTTTTATTGTTTTTTTTTTTGAATTTTCCTATTGTGTTGTTAGTTCTGAAAGCTAATTTTAAACCACATTTGGACTAATGTGAAACTTTCACTGGGTTCTCTTATATATGTAATTGTTTTAAATTGTTCGTGTTATGTATTATTAGGTTTCGGATTAATAGAGTTTAATGTTGTCTGGATTTGTTTTTTATTTACAATTTTATCGATAATGGACAGATTGTAGCCGTTGTCAGTACAATTTGTTTAATGATATTAAGTATTAAGAAGTCTGTATATAAGAGTGAAATGCAGCCATTCTGTGTGTATAAAAGTGATTTGAGCTGTTATGTATGACTGTGTCCGTGTGTGAAGGTTTACGGTAAATCGAAAATTTTAATTTGTTTTGCTTCACACACGGACGCAGTCATACATAACAGCTCAAATCACCACCACCACCTAATACAGAAAACAATTACATACACAGCAGAACCCAGTGAAAAACAGTTGTCAAAATATGGTTTAAAAATAGCTTTCAGATCTAACGACACAATAGGAAAATTAAAAAAAAAACAATTAAACGAAGTGTCTAAAATCTCCAAAATCGGTGCCTAAAGGTTGAAATGGTTGGACAAACAGGTCGATCCTTCAAGAAACGCATTAACGAACATAAAAGAGCGTTTCAAAAAACAAGTCTAAATTCTAATTATGCTACACACTTTAACACAAAAAAAGTAGAAAATTAAATTTATTGGAACCCATGGAGATTAACAGAATACGACATTCAATTCAATTAGATTTAAATACCTCTCCATTATTAAACTTAAATTCTCACAACATTAATTAAGGTGTCATTGTCATTTTTTGGTATATATAGTAGCAAGCAGTTTGTAAATATTACATTTGATAAAGTCACGATATTGTCGAAACAATTGTCATTGTCATGTGAATTTCGTGAAAATCTGAACTTTTAGTTTTTATTTATTTTGTTTTCATAAGTACGTGTATTATTCGAAAGGCAAGGCAAGGACATCTAGTAGCCATAGCATTCTTCTAATTCTGTGAGGTATCACTCGCCTTCGGATACATTAAATGATTTTTTTATAGAAACTAAAAGAAAACGATACGTTTATCGTTGTTGTTTAGAAATAATAAATTTAAAACTTTCGCCACTACTATTTAGAAAACTTTTGAATTCATCCTGCGTCGGTTGTTGTTGAATCGAACTTGCTGTCGGTTTGCCAATCATCCTGTTAGCTTTTAGCATCGCAGGAGGAATCCAGAAGCTTTGTAAATAGTGTTACAGTAGCCTCTGGAAGTTTCGTTTCAAAATTAACCCTAGCTATTGTTATAAATTGATTTATTTCCACATTGTAAATTGATCTCAGTCAAAAAAATGTTAAAAAAATGCCCAATTGGTGTGACCGAATAAAGTTAGTCGAAATACATAAGGATATTCTTCAATTTGGTACATTATATGAGGTTCTATGTTTTCTTGCTTTCGCAGGATTCCCATCAAGGTACCAACCGGATGCGCTAGATTCGCGTACGAGCTGCTGTACCCCCCGAGGAAGGCTATGGGAGGAAGGTTCCCCAACCTCGTCCACCTGACCGACTACGAAGACGGGGGTCACTTTGCTGCTTTCGAAATACCCTCGATCCTAGCAGAAGACATTTACCAGTTCGTGGACAAGGTCGAACGGTTAAAGATTGGAAAACAGGAGCTGTGACATCGTGGATAAGACTGATTCGTTGTACAATACAATAAAGAATAAGAAAATAAGAATTAGTAATGGTATTGACTAAAATGCCACTCCCTCAACAAACTTTGGTACAATTACTAAACTCTAACTAAACTTTTTGGCAAATGGGCCTTGGCAAGAAACGCCAATAAGCTGTTTAAGCTGATTTTCAAATTTTTTAGTCAAACATCACCAGCTAGAAAGTTGAAGAACCCTCCAATACAGGATGTCAGAATGGTATATTATGCAACAAGTGCGGTAATCGCCATTTGACTCCCGAATTTATTTGACACGAACAGAGCGCGTTTTTAATAAACGAGTGAGTTAAGAAGTTTATCGAACGTGTTGCATACTATACTTTTTCTACTACCGTTAGTTTTTGGGTACATTTTCGCAAAACAACACGAATGCATTCACTCACATCTCCGAAAATATTCGATTGCTCCCAAATCCGTGCGGTAAAATCCCGGAAATGTCCGAAGTGGCTCGCATTCATGGGAAACGAAACTGACGTGGTAAAGTGACGCTTGCCGCACGGTAGATCGATGGGTAATTCGGTATTTTACAGACGGGAGTAGAAAACATTATAAACACGCGACTAACATAAACTAAAATTGCTTGTGTTAAATTTATCGTATTTTAATGAAAATTTTTAAAAATGAAAGGCATTTTCCTAACATGCTGGATATATTTCTATATTCGGTGGGTACAGACAGATTGTTTCTAAAAACGCCTTCTTAACGCGGCAACCTGTGAAAACGCGTCACAGACCACAAAAGCGGGATCACGCGTGTTTTCGAAGATCGTCTGGCCGATATGAAAATTTATGGAGATCCACGCGTCTCGGTACATAAATAAAATCGAAAAACGGCCACCTTGCCGTTGTATTTTTGCCGGAGCTGCACATTAAGGCTTTTAAAATAATCGGAGCCGGTGGATTACGCGGGATTGGTAATGGTATCGCGCGAAAATTAAAAGCCCGAACGATAGATGTATTTATAAAAAATGAACATAAAAATGAGTTGGTCTCGCGCAGTCATCCAAGCGCGCCTGGTGCCTGAATGGTAAATCAACAGGCTGAAGCTGAATGCAAGCAGCAGCCTCGTTTGGAATACGTAATTGTAAGTATTGGAAACGAACATTTTTGTTCCCTTATGGTTAAATAAGTAAATATCCACGTTTTTCCACTTATATGAAGCGAATTTTCAGAAGTTCACATATTATAGTTTCCGTTACCCTTGATAATTTTCCTTCACAAAATCGTAATTATTCACCATAAGAGGTCAATTTCATCTTCATCAATCCAATTTTTTTTTGTCCATCGACGGCATGTTTTTTATTAAACGCTGATTATTTTCAGTCTCCCACTAGTTTTTATTATTAGATTTATGTATTTCATTTATAAATGATTCGAAAATAAATAATAAATCATAATCATCATAAATAAAAATCATTTTGAACGGAACGGAATTTCAGTCGGAAAATATTAATCCACAATGTATTCATATGCCTTATGCTATTTTTAGACTGTTTATTTGGATTTCTTTTTTATAATAACCAATTCACGGTTAAATTTTTTACACCGTTAATAGAAACTTTACCTGGAATGGAATGCAGAGTATGTGAGAGATGAAAAAACGATGCAAAACATGAACACTTTTTTTTGGGATGCATCAAAACGTTCGCGTATAAAGCTATTCGTGTAAATGTGCCAGTCTGTTGCATGTCGAATGCATTTTGTTAGTAAAAGTTGTTATCTGTTTTTTCTCTAAATCTACCATTGGGCAGTTGCCTTCTCAAATGGCCACGGTACCAACTGAATTGGACATCGAGAATGAGGTAAAAACTATGATTGTATTTATATAAAGTATCTGTATATCTGTATAGAACAAGAAAGTATTTCTAATGGACAGCGTTAAGTGTACTTATCTACTAATTCTAGCACACTGGATTTTCTTACACGGCAATGTGCTACGTGTTTACATGTTTACCAGGCGTTGTTTTGGCTCTTATCGGGTACCTATACCACCGGCTCAAGAAGGTCCCCAAAGTACCCACGATCCCGTCGTTATGGTGGGGCGCTGGTACGGCTCCAGAAACACCCCTAGCTCGCCCACTCATCAGAAGATTCAGAATCAATGTTTCAGATGACGTGAGTATGTCTTCTTCTTTCTTTATCATGCACACAAACAACAACACACTTGCAAAACTTTTTTAATTTTGTGTCAATCATTGAGTCTTTCTCTCGCAACCAATCAGGAGCTTCAAGATCTCAAGGCTCGCCTCCAGCGTACGGCTCCATTCCACCCCAGTATGACTGGCGTAGGACAACACTACGGCGTCCACTCTACCGTCTTGGAATCTGTCCTCCAATACTGGCGCCACCAATATCGTTGGCGCGAGAGAGAGACATTCCTTAACCAATATCCTCAGTACAAAGTAAACATTCAAGGGTTAAACATTCACTTTCTCCACGTGCGACCGCGAACGAAGAAAGCGATCCCACTTCTGATGGTACACGGATGGGCCGGTTCTGTGAGGGAGTTTTACGACATGGTACCGATCTTAACCACTCAACAACCGGGCAGAAGGTTCGCATTCGAATTGGTCATACCCTCCCTGCCCGGACTCGGGTTTTCCGACGGTCCTTCCACGCCTGGACTTTCAGCCACTCATATTGCAGTTATTTTCAAAAACCTAATGGACGCGTTGAATATCGCGCAATTCTACGCCCACGGCGGTGATTGGGGTAAGTTGCCATCACCGTAAAAAAACACCTCTTACGTGCAATCCTAGGTGGCGTCGTAGTTCAAAGGATGGCCAGTCTGTATCCCCGCAGTGTTCTAGGAGTCCATTCTAATTTTTGTTTCGTCAACACCGTTTTAAGCGCGTTCAAGCTTTGCCTGGGCCGGATCATCCCTGGTTTGGTTTATACTTCTTCGGAGAGACGAATCTGCAACGGCACCTCCAACTCATGGCCGTTTTTGATGGAAGAGGCGGGATATTTTTATTTGCAAGCCACCAAGCCGGATACCGTCGGTAAGACCAGTTCCGGTCAGCGTCTAACATAAATGTAGATCTTATATTTTGTAGGTGTGGCTCTTAGAGATAGTCCCATGGGATTAGCAGCATACATTCTGGAAAAGTTCTCCACCCTCACCAATCCCGCCTTCAGAGACCTCGAAGACGGCGGCCTAACTCGAATGTTCACCATGAACCAATTATTGGACAACATCATGATCTATTGGATCAGCAAATCCATCACGAGCAGCATGCGGATATACTCGGAACTCTTCACCAACATTAGACTGGAATTGACAATGGAAAAGTAAGTTTTGCTGTTCGCCATAATAAAGCATTCGTTAATAACTCTTGTTTTCAAAACAAGTAGCGCATACGACGTGATTTCATGTGTCGTTGTATTGACGTTAGTGCGATTTTGCAGAGTTCCAATCAAAGTACCAAGCGGCTGCGCGCGCTTCCCCAACGAAATTCTGCTGACTCCCAGATATATCCTGCAGGACAAGCACAAACAGTTGATACATTTGACAGATCACGACGAGGGCGGCCATTTTGCCGCGATGGAGCGGCCTGCCGTGTTGGCGGAAGACATCTGCCAGTTCGTGCGCAAGGCCCGTTCGCGGTAGTTGTACATTGTGATATTTTTGTAATTGTTTTTAATCAGTCTTGTCGACGCACCGCTTCTTGTAGGTTTTAGGTTTTAAATGTACTTAAGTTAAATCGAGATAAGACTTTGTTCGTTTTCAACGTTGCCTGAAGTGTTAATTCACGTGTATAAATAAACAATCCGTTTTGATATCCGTAAAAGTTGAGATATTTGCTGTGTTTGTTTGCGTTACAACCTACCCAATTTTGGGATTACAACATTTTGTATGAATACAATTTTTGTAATTAAAGTTTTTTGATAAAAACCGCTTTTAAATACTTTTCTTAATAAACTTCATTATAAACATATTGCGGTTTTTTGATTTCCTAAAATAAGATTTTACCTATAAATGTAATTTTTCAAATTACCTTTTGCTTATTAACTAACAACCTCTTCAATTATAACTATAACTCAAATTATAACTTCTTTGTAAGTACCTTCAGAACAAAATTTCATTATAAGCACAACTATTCTGACCTTATGAATACAATTTGAAAAAATCTTATAAATGCAACTTTTCGATTTCGTCTTGTTTATAAACAAAACATTCAGAAAAGACACAATTGCAGGGTGAGGCAAAAAGGTAGGCAGGATTTCAAATGGTGGTTGTTCGATTTGTAAAACCGACAACACTGTGTATGCACTCGGTGTATTTTTCAGTTATCGACATGGCTTAGTGTGGAGTTTATTAGAAATGGGAAATCAGTTTGATGTTAGTCGGCATGGCGCGGTTTCGAATGGAAGAACAATTTGTCGGTGCGTTTTACACTTCAGGGAAAAAGGTTCCGCGCTTAACCGAAAATCTACTGGTCGGCCAAGGACAGTAAGAACACCGGAAAATGTGAATGCAGTAAGAGTTTCCGTACAACAGACTCCAAGGCGTTCAGCTCGTAAGCATGCAGCTGCTTTGGGAATTGCCCATAGAAGTGTTCGAAGAATTTTACGCAACTCACTACAAATGCATCCGTACAAAATGATGGTAGTGCAGGAATTAACCGGAAGAGATTTTGAAACCCGTGCAAATTTATGCCGGGATATTCTTCAAAACATTCCCAGAGGCGCTGTGTTCATGTCTAGCGATGAAGCTCACTTTCACCTCTCGGGTACCGTAAATGAGCAAAATTTCCGTTATTGGTCAGAAAATACTGCACAGGAACTTCATGAGTGGCCTCTTCACAGTCCAAAAGTCATCGTCTGGTGTGCAATCTCGGAGTTCGGCGTGTGGGGTCCTTACTTTTTCGAAGGAGATGGAATAACGGTAACAGTCGACGGAGATCGATGGATGTCCAAAAGTGAACGAGTTGAAGAACGATCAAAGGTTCCAGCAGGATGGTGCTACATCGCACACAATGCGTCGGTCACTAAATTTTCTTCAAGAAATGTTCCTAAACAAACTGGTATCTTCACGGGGTGATCTTGGCTGGCCGCCACGTTTGCTTGATTTGTCGCCTTGCGATTTTTTTCTTGGGGGTTGCCTGAAAGCGAGAGATTTCACACATCGTCCAAGAAATTGCCTCAATTCCCCAAGAAATAATCCATCGGGTAATGATGCGCTTATAATATATTCATCATTTTTAAAAAATAAAGTTCCTAAACGGCATAAAATGTACATTTCAAAAATAATTAAAAAAAATATTTGCTTTATGTAGTTTGGTTTTTATTAATATCCCAAATAGTACCTATAATTTTGCCTCACCCTGTGCAATTTTCAGGAATATTTCCCTTGTAATTGTTTTAATAAAATAACTAAGGAAGGTAGCGGTTTGGGTGATTGTCGCAATCTCTTTTTTTTTAAATCACCAACGGCAAAGATTTTTCCTGGTGTTTCTACTCACCGCACGCACGATCGTCGTCGGATCCCAAGGTCAAAGATTAATTAATTTGTTTATGTGTATTCCGTACTTTATTTCGTTTCGCTGTCGGTATCGCAGTTGGCCTGGCACTCACTTGAGCAAACGTCGTTGTTTTCTCAGTAATCTTATCAAAATACGATAAAAATTTCTTGTTGCTAGCTCACCGCTCGGTTAGCCGGCTCAACCATAACAAAATCGGTGTCAACCTTTTCGAGTTGTGGATTCAGAAAAAATGGGTTTATTCAAGTTGGGTTTTGTAGGCTTGATCCTGGGAGGTCTGGCTTACTTATACATCCAAAGCAACAAAGTGGTGCCGGTGCCCAAGTTAGGAGATGTTTGGTGGGGTAAGGGTGACCCTAGCAAGGAAGACAAGGGCATCAAACCTTTTAAGATAGACGTATCCGAATCGGTAAGTTCCCTCTGTAATTCTTGGACATCGTCAACATTTCCCCGCCATCGCGCAGGTCATCAACGATCTCCGCTATCGTCTCGAGCATGCTCCACCGTTCGAACCTCCGTTGGAGGGGGTAGGGCAAAACTATGGAATAAATACGAAACTTTTGGAGAAAATCGTGGCTCACTGGAAAACAAAGTACGACTGGAGCGAGCGACAGAAATTTCTAAACCAGTTCCCCCAGTACACCACTAGTATTCAAGGATTGAAAATCCACTACATCCACGTGAAGCCTAAGGCCGTCCAAGGAGCGCGGGTGGTACCACTGCTTCTGCTGCATGGCTGGCCAGGGTCGGTCAGAGAGTTCTACGAAATCATTCCCCTGTTAACGACACCCCAAAAGGGTAGGAAGGTGGTGTTCGAAATCATCGCACCATCTCTGCCCGGTTACGGGTTCTCCGAGGGCACATCTAAGCCGGGATTGGGCACCCCCGAAATGGCGGTGATTTTTAAGAACCTCATGAAGCGTCTCGGGTTCCAGAAGTATTATATACAAGGAGGCGATTGGGGAGCCCTCATAGTGCAACACATGGCGATCCAGTTCCCCGACCAAGTCCTCGCAGTGCATTCAAATATGTGCAGTAACAACAAGATGGTGTCAAATTTCAAGATTTGGGTTTTGGGTGAGTAGCTAGTAGTTAGCCAAACGACAGGGTGCAATTTACTGCGTTTAGGGTCGCTTTTTCCATCCTTTTTAACCACCGAGCAGGAGCGCGAGTTGTTCTATCCTCCGTCTCAGAAGATATTCACGAACGTCATTCTGCTGGAGATGGGTTACTTCCACATCCAGGCCACCAAACCGGATACAGTAGGTAAGTAACAATCCAAGATACCACCACCCAGATGATGGTGATGGGTTTGATGCTTCAGGTGTGGGATTAAGGGACAGTCCAGTCGGTCTGGCGGCGTATATCATAGAGAAATTCATTACTTGGACGGATTCGACTTGGAAGAACTTGGAGGACGGCGGGCTGACGAAGAAGTTCACCTACGATCAGTTACTGGACAACGTCATGATCTACTGGGTGAGCAGATCTGCCACGACGTCGATGAGATTGTACGCGCAGTTTTTCAGCAAGTCCACATTGGAATTCGATGAGTAAGTCTAGCATAGATGACAGGACAGAGACGACAATATTTGTGTTTTAGGGCACCGGTCACAATTCCAGCCGCGTGCGCTCGTTTTAGAAATGAAATCGTTTTGACTCCCGAATCCGTCTTAAGGGACAAGTACCTCAATTTGACCCAAGTCACGCTTCACCCCGACGGCGGTCATTTTGCTGCGTTCGAGGTACCCGCGTTGCTCGCCAAAGATGTTTACGACTTCGTCGAGACGTTGATTTAATTGGTTTTTGTTATTTTTTTACGAAATAAAAAACCGTTTCTGGTATACGTTTCTATTTATTTCGTTCAACTTACTATGGATTCCTTTGATTGTATACATTCGTATGGTTTAAGGTTTCTTGATAATTCGGCGAGAGCGCATTTCTGCTACTTTAATTATATTGGTAATGATTGAAAATGGTTTCCGAGAAAACGTTAATTTTCCTGATTTTATCTGCGTAATTCTTTTCCAACACAGAATAGGTTTTCAGGGACAAACTTTTACAGTTCTAAAGAGAGAGTAGAATCAAAAAATTTTAAATGAAAGTTCCCAATAACATGTTGGTATTAAATTTCAATTGTCTAAAGCCATAGAGTAAAAAAAATATTTTTTTTTACTCGAAAACCATGAGTCATAGCCAGAGATCAAATTTATACCAAATTAAATGCGAATTTCAAAAATCACTTCATTTTAAGAACCAATGCCTTCAATTTCTGAAAACGGAATGTGCACTAAAAAATGCCTCTTGATTGAAAAAGATATATAAAGTTTGATGAGAAGATCTAAAGTAACATTAAAATTATGATAAAATTTGTTTTTCTTAGAACACCATCTTCTAAAACTTGGTTCTCTCTAAAGATATTTGCCACGGAATTTTATCATGAGACTGATTATTTTTTAGCATTATTTTAAATGTAAATTGCACGTTTCTTATAAGAGCCTTTAGATATATTTTTTAAATCAAGTTGAAAGCGAAATTTTTAAGTTTATTGATGATTTGGTGAAAGCGCGTCGTAGTTTTATATTTAGTTTTTTTCACCAAGACATAGTCTTTAAGGATGCGAATCTTTAGAGCATCAATAGTCTTCTTCTGATGTAAAATATTTATCATTTGTTTACGTACGTGGAGTATGGGCCCTAGATATTTGTAGAAAATCATTTTTTAAAATATTGCTTTGCTTTTACTTGCTAAAAAAAATTTTTTAAAATTTCCATTTACCTTATAATTTGCGCTGAGAGAGAGAGCGAGGGGTGGAGAGAGGGTTGGAGAGAGAGAGAGTGAGAGAGGGTGAGAGGGGTGGAGTAAGGGTTGGAGAGAGAGAGAGAGGGAGCGTGCTTTTTGAGTCAACAAAAAATCAAATTGCCACAGAATATCATTCGATTTTTACTACTTTGGACAATTCAACTTGGAGATTTGTCCATGGCCATGTTAAGTTGGTTTTCTATCTGTTTTATATTCTCTTTTTATAATATTTGTATTTTAATACTTGTAATAACTTCTTCAAGCTTTATTGTTAAGTATAAAATGGTTACAAGATGCTGACTAAGTTTCTGCAATTTTCTGACTTCCCTGCGCGATCGTGACGTTGTCAACTTTAACAAACTAAAAGGCTTCTTGTTTTTATTTGTGTCTTGATTCTTCTGAAGATAATTCTTGAACCTTCCAATGAAAAAAAAACATTTGTTTATTAAAAACAACAGATACGGCTTAAATTAGTTAGGTTATGTTAGCAAACCACCTCCGCGTTTTTCCAAAGGCAATTTCGAACCTTGCGAGAGACCAATTTTGGTTAGTTTACAACAACATCCGATTAGAGCTGTAATCAAGTGTACCGCTCTCACGGAACGCATTCTGCTAGGCACGTTACATTTAAATCTCGAAATACGGTTAACCGCTTGGCGTTGTTTACTCGTACAGTAACTAGATTTCATTCGCGTGCTATTCCACTTTTTTTTGGAAATTTTTACCTACGGCAATAAACAAATTCGAACCGTTGGGAAATCGGATTAATCTGTCAGGCGACACATCGGCGGCGGTGCTTTTTTGGCCCTGACGTCAGAGGAATAGCAACCCTCCATACGTCATCCGTCTGTCTGGCAACCGATGGGATTCGGTGTTATCTGTTGATGAATTGTTCCGGCGGCACATGATGCACCCGCGGGTTGGCTTCGATTTGAAAATAGAAATTGGGGTCAGTGGCGTTACTGGAAAATTTTAAAGTGTAACGAATACTGTACTGATTGTAAACGTCAGAAGTAAAGATAAAGAGCAAAGCTCAAGGGAGAAGATATCGTGTTAAAATGTCATCGCGTCGTGACCAATTGATGCTAATATTCAATTCACAGTAGCAGTCAAAACGTTCATTTGTACAAAACAAATTATGATTAAGAGTGATAAGAAGATTTAGGTTTCAATCTCAAACCATCAAAAATAATTTGGGATCAATATTGACATTCAAGTAGCAATAATAATAATTTATCAACTTAAATTAGTGAGCAATGTGATTAACAAAAGATAATTCGTTCATGAGTGAGAAAAAATACCCAAGCATATAATTGCATGCATACCTACTTTGGTTACATTATCATTAGGGGATCCAACTAATAGTTATGGAAAGGTGCTTTTTTATAGAATTTAATATAAAATAAAAATAAAAGTTAGCATTATAGTTAGTTTGTGTTTAGCTCCCGCTTAGCTATTTCATGTGTTCTGTAGTACTATTACAGTATCTTAGCTGCTAGATTATTAATGACACTAGGTATACAGTTTTCGCTTTTTTTTTCACTTTTTCATATTTCTTGGCCCACTTGTTACTTTCAAAAATCGATGAAATCGAATTTTTCGAAAGTATCTACGCTCGTATAAAAATTTTATATCTCGGTATTGGTAGGTCCTATGGGATCGCCGTTGGTACAGAAATGATCACCGTCGAAAAAAAAAAACTTTTTCCTGTCCGTTCTTCGTTCTTATCTTTTGGTTTTTCCTGAATAACTTTCGAACCGTTGGAGCTACAAAATTTAAATTTGCCTCATTTTTAACCCTCCACAAGGCACGTAAGCCTATTAAAATGACCCTGATCCGGCGCCTATATCCATCTTTTTTTCGCGATTTTCTACTGTTTTTTGGACATTGCTATGAAACACGATAAGTGTCCGAAATTTGAAGCAATCGACTTCGTATTTGGCACATATATGCAGCTTTGCCCCGTGACGGAACCTATTGAAAATGGGGGGGCTGGGGAGTCAGCAAGTATTCTAAAAAAATTAAAAATCGCGTGTGTAAAAACTGAAAAATGTCTTACTTTCTTATATATTGCGATATAGCCCGAATAGATAACAAAAACCTTTGTATTTAAGATTTTTACCTATTGCACAGGGTGTTCCCGATAGTCCATGCTACATGAGAAATGTGTTGAGTGTCCTAAATTTGTAGATATCAACTTCAAATTTAGCAGAGAAGTAAAAGTTCGTGTCCACATTGAAACTGTAGAAATTGGGTGCCATCAAATTTTACCAAGTATTTTTTAATAATTATTGAAATTTTTTTTGGTAAATTTAGCTTCCAGAAAAATAGGTTTTCCTCCATAATCGTTCACCGGACCGGCAAAATTCTTTAGCAGCAAGCGCGGAAGATCCAGTGCAATAACATTTATTTCATGCATTTTTTCGATTGTATACAGGGTTTTTAAATTATAGGCAGAAAATTGTTCTTTTACAGACTCAATGTTAGCCGCAAATCAAAAATCGTAAAAAATTTGGCTAATTATGGCGCACTGCATGGTTTCAGAAAAAACTTATTTTCTCGGAAACCATTTACTATTTACAAGAAATTCTTGGACCAGGAAACGTGGAAGATTCTGGGCTATAACCTCTACTTCGAACATTGTATGAATCATGTACAGGGTGTGTCGGTTATAGGCAAATATCTAAAAGATCCTAAAAATTTTCAATTTTGTGGGTAAATTGTTGATGATAAATGAAAAACCCTTACAGATGCGATAATTTTCGTCAAATATACAGGGCGCGAGATATTTGAAAAAATATCATTCGACAACGCTATTATTGGTGCAAATTTAAATATTTACCGATGTTTGCCGTAACTTTGAAGTTCGAGCAGTTGTGAAGGACACTTTATACAGGGTGTTTGCACAATGAAATTACATCAATTTTGAGAAAGTTCCACAGCGGTCCGCAGGAGCACGATAGAAAATCAATGCATCCCTTTACCACATGAAACCGCGAAGCTCTTCCCTTTTATAATGAAAAGGTGCTTCGCGCTAGCCCTGCCCTGCGACAATTTTTCGAAAGCGATCTTGTTTATATCTGTTGTTAACAATGTAAAAGAATAGATATTAGCTTGAAAAAAAAAATCTAATCAACTTATAGATACAAAAAAATCAGAAAATCAAGGCAGTCTCTGACAATTTCGCAAACTAACCAAAAGTACTAACTTTAAAAACCAAATTTCACGATAGCGGCGTTACATTATATCGAATTCGACCTATTTGAACTTGTTGAATCGACTATAACATTGTAGTGATTACAAATCGCAAGTAACTGGGGCTTAAAGATAATTTTTTTAATAATTTCTAATTTTCAACTATTTCATATGCAAAATGCCGAAAAATCTTGTACATTGTCTGTAAAGCAGTGTTGATTATTTGGTTCGTCACCCACATATTATTCAATCATTACTGAATTTACTAATTATTGTGTTGTACTGAGGTGGCTTTTACTTGATGAAAATCTATTTAAAATAGTTAAATAAGAACAAACGTCTATTACTGAATCTCAAGGTTTTAAAACATTAACATACACAGGAGAACCTAGTAATAAAGTTTGAGATCATCTCTAGAAATGTGACCTCAAAATTGCTTTTAAAACTATAACACCTTAGGAAAATTTGTTAAAAACAATAAATCTAAATCTAATAGATCCCAGAATTCTGGAGTCTATAGATTAAATTGCGGATCATGTTCTAAGATTTATATTGGACAAACTTTTGCAAAAAACGTATCAATGAACATTGACGAACATTTAAAAACAATAGTTCAGATTCTAATTACGCTATACATTTAAATTTAGAAAAACACAATTTTGACGGCAATTTCGATATTTTACACACTGTTTCAAAATGTAGAAAATTAAATTTACTAGAAGCTATGGAGATTAATAAGATGAGATTTAATGACCAACTGGATTTGAATGGATCCCCCCCATTAAGTAATTTCTATCTGTTTTGTATTTATAAACATCGGTACCGTTTGATATTCGCATTTGATAAA